TTCTTATACATAAACCATAAATATGTTAAAGACCAATGTAAGATAAGGGACACTGTAGCCACATTCAAAGTAATGTGGGGCTTGGAATAAAACTACTACAGTAACAGGAAAAGGAGGGATCTATTTCCTGAAAAGGAGCTATTAAACCCTCAATGTCATTCCCTTAAGTTCTCAATAGTTAGGGTCCAAGAAGTTACATCAGGGACAGATCCTGAGGGTATTTCCCATACTGATGACAAACAAACATGCAGTATAAAAGGTAGTGATAATTTCCAACTTTCTCAACAACACAGGATTAATAGAGTAGGGAGACCAGAAATGGTCCAAGAGAGAAATCACAATTGCTTAGTCTTGATTCTTTAGCTTACATTGTTCAAGAACAGATGCCAAACTTCAAGCAGAGGATGCTCGGAATTCAATAAATGTGACTAGATAACAATGGTTCCTCCCCACTAAGTAGGCTGAGGCATGTATGTGTTTCAAGTTAATTGTCCTGATTCACTCAGCTCAAGCTAGCAAATGGCTGTGCCTTGGCCTAAGGTCAACTGGTTCACTTGTGATTTTACAAAGTTTTGAAATTTTTCCACCTTTAAATCTCCATTTTGGATTAAGCTTTTAAGTTGTTTGTCTTTGGGTAAAACAATAAACCCCACCAATCAAATCTTCATTTAGGGTCCTGGATTTCCTTGCCTGGGCATGGAGAGGTCCGTGACTCCATTCTTCAGACAATGAGACTTCATGGCCTCTAAACTCTTTTGCAAGTTTTCATAAGTTGGCTTGTGTGAAGCCCTTTTCTTTGTAATCTAGGCACAAAGAAAGGATTCAAACTTTGATTATCCCAAAATGATAGCCAATTGAAAAGTCATCACATTCCCCCAACATCCCAGTAAGTATATTATTATCAGGATGCTATAAAAGAACAAGTGTATTGTTATACAAAAGTTAGTCTGGAGCAGGGATGACAAATGTCCTACTGCCCCTTCCACATTGTTATGGGAGGCCCTCAGGAAAATCCACTAAGTAGAGACTGAGAAACCTAGACTCTGCCATGCAGTTATCTTTCCTTTTCCCAGGACACCCATAAGATTAGCAGGTTGTACCTATTGTCAAGTGTTTTTAAGCAACATAGGTGAAAGTTTTTGTGCCACTTCCAAGAGATAAGCAGCATATCTATAACAAGGAAGTACCCATAACAGCTGAAAATCCCATAAAGAGCCTCTATTTATATAGAAATTGTGCTTGTTGTTTCTCTATATGACAGACAAAAACTGGTAGTGTTCCAGAAACACTGGAAGTGATATCAGCCTTAAGGACAAAATTCAAAGGGGCCAGGACATCTCTCTACTCAGTTTGCCATCCCGATCAGGCTTGCAGTGGTTTGGTTGTGAGTCACCTAACACCATCACTCAATAAGCCACATCTTTTCTGGGATCAAAAACCATTTGGACAGTTGAAGAATCCTACATTCAGGCAGTAGGCAGAAGAGTAGCTGGTATTACCTGGCACTGTATTTGACATGGAAGAATAAGAGAAAAATCCCTTTGGGAAATCTGTCTCTTGAGACATTATTGCTTTTACCTCCTGTGTCTAGGAAAGAAAGTATGGAAGCATCCTTAAATTTTGCAAGTCTTAGAACAAGCTTATGGTGAAAGGCACAGCTCGGATGCAGCCTCACATTCCTTTCTAATCCAGTGCTCCTCATAGTCAGCACCACTGGACCTGAGTTGTCATGAGATCAGAAGCTTTTCAGCACCCTTAATTGTCTAGAATGGAGCATTGTGATCAATACAAATGTAGTGCAGCCCATCTGTTCATCAATCCTTAGAATGTATTAAAAATTGGCCCAGAGAAAGAAAATGGCCCCACCTTACCAAGTAATATATATATCGTCCATCTCTCTTCAGAACAGCCACTTCTCCAGATTTCTTTTCTAAGAAAAACAGTTATTTAATAGTAGAAATGGAAAAAAAAAAAACCCACCAATCTGTTAAGTTTTCAAATCTTTATAGATCTGAGTTTACCTCAGAACTAGAAATAACTTTCAATGATGAAAAAAAACCTATCGTGTCCTGATCACTTTGCTCCTTTATCAGCCATCTCAAATACTGTGTTCCATAACGAACAGCTTTCGTCTAATCATGCCTCCTCACATCCCATCTTTTGTCCAGCCCCTAATTGCAAATACACCCTCACTTGCCCACTTAAAAAGTTAGTGTCTATTCCCTTGAAATTGGCTTAGAATGTACACCATTTTTCATGTGCCAAATGTGTGTTTCCCCAATAATGATCTTTTTACATACAAGAGCTGTGTAAAGGAATATTATGAAAAATATAGATATAGTAAAAAGTCCTTAATTGTCAAAGAGTTATCAATACAGAGAAGGCATCATCTTTACAAAATAACTGCACTACAAAGTAGTAAGAAATTATGTTAGTCTGGGATCAGATTCACCAGGGGACACTAATTTAGTAAGCCTGGAATGTGGTCTGAGAAACTGTTTCAGAAACTCCACATGATTCTGATGAACATCTCTGGTTTTAAATCATTACTAGAAAGTGATGGGAGGGGTCTGTAAGGATAAGGTTTCTAAACTTCACTTTGAGTAAGTATATTGGTAAGTAGTGGGTCTTGAATGCCAAGCTAATACCTGTGGACTTAGCTAAGCACTTCAGAGTTATTACAGGTGTCAGAGAAGTGGAGTAGTATTATTAAGAAAGTTTTACGATAGAGGAGGAAGAGATGAGAAACTTTTACAAGAATTCAGGTTTGGCTTGATAAAGGGACCAAACTGGATCCCATTATTGTGAAGGAAAAACTTAAATCAAAAAGCACTCAGTTATTAGGAACCCCATCTTTGCATGCACATTTTGTTTATTAAAGTATAACAGGGAATGAAAACAGGTAAGCTGTTTCCAAAACTCACGCTGATTTAACAGTTCTTGCACCCCTCCAAATTTCTTCTTGAAGAGAACAGCTATCCCAGCGCCCATGCGACAATCCTCACTAATACAGTGGGCTAAAGAGTCTGTTTTGGGGCATGCAAAAAGGTCTCCTTTCACATAAGTGATCTAAAAATGGGCAAAGGAAAAGAAAATGTTTTATTAGACACAGAAAAGCACTAAGCTCTTTCATTTTTCTTTATTCTGTGTCCCCCTCCCCCAGCCCTCCTGTAATTTGATTTAAAGCCTAATCTGCAGAATTTAATTGAAGGAGTTAACTACAACGAATTCAGCATGTGTAAAAGAAAGTGATGGATGGTTCCTGCCTAAGATCGTATTAGCCTTTCTTGAATAAATCAGCTAGAGAGGAAAAAAAGGCAATTCAATTATTGGTTTAATTAAAAAGTGTTTATGCTTTGGACCTCAATTATTCTGAATTTCAGTTCACCAATAAGTTAATAGTTGTTACGCACTCTGCTTCCTTCTGGATCTTCATTAAGGCTGCTGGCCATGATACTCAGTTGCTATTTCCAGAATTTAAGTGTTTCTTCAGCTATGACAAGGGAAAAGGAAATAAAAATGTTTAGGCAGCCTTAATATATTATACTCAGTTTGCCCTGTACACCAATTATTAGTGCCCCCCCACCACGTTTATCACTGAATGTGAGTGCGTTCTGAATCTGGGAAGTAATACGAAACTCTGCTGGTGCAAGGAAAGCCTAGGTTTGGACGCAGCGGCGACCCGCTGGCATTTCGCGCTTTCCTGGAGCGCCCAGCCCCGCCAGCAGAAGCAAAGGCGGTCCTAAGACACGCCGCCTCCTTTCTTCACTGCCGCTTCCGACCAAGGCGGACTTAGGACACGCTCCTCTTCCCTGCACGACGCAAAAGTATTTCCCCAGTGGTTTTAGCTTAGAAGAAAAAAGGTGGGACTTGGCCAGCGTCCGGTTAAGCCGCAACCACAGAGTGAACCAGGCAAGGGCTGAGCCGCAGGCATGGGAAGAGGGAAGGCGGCCTCTCGAGTAACGTTCACCTCCCTATTCGGGGCAGGGGGTTGAGAAAGAGTCGAGAGAAGGCGCCCATTCTGTCTCCTATCCTGGAACGTGTGCATGGGCGTAGGGTCTGTCCTGGGGTCCCCTGGGAGGGTGCGGGGAGACTGGCTCAAAGCCCCGACGTACCCGGGTCACCCTTCACCTGGAAAGGAGTCGGCCGTTAGGAGGTCCCCGCCCCACGGGGAAGGGCTCCGGATCCGACCCTGGTAGGTGGGGAGCAGCGGAGGAGCCCAGATGCGGAACCAATCCCGCCACAGCCTGTAATTGCACGCACCTAAGATGGCCGCCCCCTACCCGGTAGCGGGGCGGAAGCGAGCCCTTCTAGCAAGCTACTCGAGCCCTCACTCTTTGGTAATGGCCGCCGCACTTCCGGCGGTAAATTCCGTGGTTTCCCGCCGTCGCCCAGGCATGCGTAACGAGATTGCCGACAGCGAGCTGGAAAGAGCGGCGCTTGCGCATTAGCCCCAGGGGTGTGTCCCAGTGGCCGCTTGAAAAGGGGTGGGCAGTCGGCAAGGGGGCTAGTTGGCGCCTGCGTGCTACAATGCTCAGGGCGGTATTTGAGTTGAAAGGTCTTGCGCGCCTTGAAGGCGCCTGCGTGCTCCTTCGGCCGGAGGTGGAATCTAATCGGGGAGGTGGGCGTGGCTTCGAGGGACGCCTGCGCAGTCCTCCTCCGGGGGGGTGGAGCGAGCCCGGAGCTGGAGTTAGGGGGCGTGGTCTCAGAGGCGCCTGCGCGGAGGCGGTTGGAGGGAGGCCCGATTCCCCTTTGTTCAGGTTCGCCATTTTGCGAGGCAGCGGCAGTGGCGGCGGCAGCGGCGGCTGGGGCCTCTGATTGGGTTTCGGAGTCCGGTACTGGAGCCAATCAGCGCGGGCAGCGAACCGGGGGAGCGAGGCACGGTGAGTGTGAGGAGCCAATATCCAGCGGCCCAGAGCCGGCCCTAGCGCCCCGATTGGCGGGTCTCGCTGACCACTCAGGAGAGGCCCAGGCGCCCGTCGAGCCCGGGGAGTCGAGCTGAGCCTAGCCGAGCGGGGCGGCTGGCGGGCCCGGCCCGGGGCCTGCGAGCTCCTCGGGGCACTGCGGGCCGAGGCCTGCAGGGGCCGCCCCGCGCGGGGATGGCTCCCCCGGGAGCAGGCACCTCGGGGTCCCGACCCTTGCCTGGTGCCAGTGCCCCTTGGGAGTGCGCTCCCTTTCCCCGACCCTCGGGCCCCGGCTCTCAGGCCCCAGGCTCGGGGGTGGTGGGCTTGCCTGCCGCGAATGCCCCTACGCTCAGGTACACACGCGCGCCCCGGCCTCGGCGGTTTCCTGCTGGTCGTTCCGGCCCACACACGCCCGCCTTTGCACTCTACGCTTCAGGCCTGAGACGGGAAACACGTCCCGCGGGCCCGCGCCCCACAGCGCTCCGTGAGGAGAATGTGTCTGCAACCCCTCTGCCTCGCCAGGGAGGCCTGGGGCGGTGGGCGCTGCGGCCACAGGGCCGTGCGTGCGGCGGCGGCCTCGGACTGCTGCACGCCCGCCCCCACAGCCGCCCGGCCGGGGAGGGGTCCATGGGTTCGCCCACTCCCCTGCCCCGCCGCGCCCCTCCTCCCGGCCCGCTTAGCCCGGGTCTCCGGCCCGGCGCCGTTACCACCCCCTTTGCTCGTCATTTCCTCTCCTCCCCGCCCCGCTCCCCGTCGCCGAGCCGCGCACCTCCGTCTCTGCGCCCAACCGAACGGCCTCCCTTTCTTGCCTGGGCTGTAAGGCCAGTCCATCTGGTGCCCGGACCCTCGGTCTTAGAAGATTGATAGCCCCGTGCATACTTTTTCCTGGAGGCAGCACAACTTGCTTTTCTTGTTAATAGGCTTACCCATTGCTCATTCTGTGAATCCTCCCTAGGGAATGTACAGTAATACAGTAATATTTTTTTGCTTTCACTTTTCCATGTCACTTTGAATGTGTCAGGCTAGGCTTTTGGTTGTTTTCTGATACACTTTCTAATCCCGTGTTAACTTTTTCTCAGCTAATATTTAGAAATTTAAGAGAGTTGTGGGGTTTTTCTTTAGGATGAGAGTAAATCTCCGGTGGCAACCAGTTAGTTATCCAGCAGAATGTGCCAGGCATCATCCATGTGCCGAGGAGGGAGTGGGTAGAGGTAAATAGCTGTGCCTGCCTGGTGGAGATTGGCAAGTGAACAGCTGATTAATACCAATGGTTAGAGCTATAAAGGAGCAAAGTTCAGTGCCGTGAGGTATTGATGCTTGAGCTGGCAGCAACCTCAGTGAAATGTTTCTCACCACCACACTTTTGTCTGGCTTTGACAGATGATGGGATTTTCTTCAGGCAGGAAAGGTGGAAGAGCATTGCTCACAGAAAAGCATGTGCAAGGGCATCAAATTGTGCTGTGTGCTTGAGGTGGAAAAATGGGATAGGAAAGTGGGCAGTAGTAGTGAGAATTTAGGCAGGAAAGCCCAGTTAGGGGGAAAAAAAACCGCTTGTATATCTTGCTAAGGAATTTTTTGAAAGCAGTTATTTTGTATGGAGGTTCAGGTAGAACGGATCTAGAACTATACGTTTTTCAGAAAAACAAGTTTCTGACTTGTGCGTTCTGCCCCCTAACATTGGCTCACTTCTTTGGGGGAAGGAAAGATTTTTGTCATGGGACTTTAAACATTATTTTTATTCATGTGAAGTATTTATTTAGTGCATTCCCTGGCACATAAAGTAGGTTGTCACATTTACTAAGGTCATACAATTGGCAGGTTTCAGGACACTTTTAGTCCAATGCTCTTTCCAGTACTAAAACTTTAGGGACAGTGTTTGTTCTCACTCTTTGGAATGAGTTTTTCTTTGTTGTTAAATATTTTCTAAATTCATTTAATTCCTACATTATCCATATTGATAGATGGGGCAGGTTATATTTGCCTTTGGAATAGATGTTTTAACCTTGGTATTTAAAAATGGGTATATCTGTCGCATGAAAACCACCAAAATACTTTTGCTAGACTTCTTTCTAAAAGGCATTTATCATCCAGTCACTTTTTTGGCTAAACATCTCTAGAGTCTCCACCTGTCTGTGGAACAACTTCTTTGCCTGGTATTTTGAGAGACAGTAGTGTGGCCCCTTGAGCTTTTTTCTGGACATGGGGGCATTTTAGTCTGTTCATATGCCGAAATTTTCCTGTTCCCAATTTTTATGCTCTCTTGATTTGGAGTACTTTACCCCCACTCACATCTTCACATAGCTGAATCCTTCGCACACTTAAGACCAGTTCAGATGATACCTTTTCCTAAAGATTTCATTGATTTATCCCCAGCTAGAAATCTCTGCCCTCACAAAGAAATCACTTTTCTTCCAGCTCCCATATTACTTTGTTTCTCTCTCAGGATTCTAGTACAAGTTTTCACTATGTTACTAAAGTTAAAGATTCTTTGAAGTTAAGATCTTCATCAGAGATTTCTTTATTTGTTTTGGTTTTTTGTAAAGATGGGGTCTCACTATGTTGCTCAGGCCAGTCTCAAATGCCTCACCTCCCATCTCAGCCTCCCAAAGTGGATTAGGATTACTGGAGTGAGCCACTGTGACCTTCTTTTTGATTTTTAAAGCCTTTAGAATAGTGTCTGGCACATCATTAGTGGAGAGAAGGAACAAATTAGGAAGCTCCAGTTCAGAAACTTGTAGGATGATGGGGAAGCTGTACAGCCCTTTGTTGTCTGCTCTAGTCTTATTAAACATGTATCAGGACCCATTTGTTGAGTTATAAAATAAATTGAATAGGCCAATGCTGCCAATAATTTTTTATAATAGAAATTATCAGTACATGGCCAGGCGCGGTGGCTTACGCCTGTAATCCTAGCACTCTGGGAGGCTGAGGCAGCCGGATCGCTCGAGGTCAGGAGTTTGAAACCAGCCTGAGCAAGACTGAGACCCCGTCTATACTATAAATAGAAAGAAATTAATTGGCCAACAAATATATATAGAAAAAATTAGCCGGGCATGGTGGCGCATGCCTGTAGTCCCAGCTACTCGGGAGGCTGAGGCAGGAGGATTGCTTGAGCCCAGGAGTTTGAGGTTGCTGTGAGCTAGGCTGATGTCACGACACTCACTCTAGCCTAGGCAACATAGCGAGACTCTGTCTCAAAAAGAAAAAGAAAATATCAGTGCATCTTATGTTGTATATGGATAAATATTATTTCAGGAAACTTTTGTTTCAGTTGCATATGTTTTGTTATGTGTGCACTGACTTGAAATAGCAAAATGTGTTTCTCACTATGGATTGTGGTCCAAAAAGTTAGAAAGCTACGTTCTAGTCTTTTCCTGGTAGTGATTGTCAAATATGGTAATTTGAGGGCTTTTCCTATGCTTATACTAGTTAGGTTCCTAGTGATTGGCTAAGTTTTGGTTCACAAAGAATGGGTTCCTAATGATTGGCTAAATTTCAGCTTCTGCACCTTGAAATGGTGGGGGTGGGGATGATACAGGAAGAGAATTTTTATGTTAGCCAAAATAAGCACATACTCCACACTCTCTTTTCTGATTCTCTCTGAGGAAAAACAATTCAAAACTTTGTGTTACGAGCAAGATCTGGACAGACTAACTTTGGCTGGCTTAATTTTGTCATAATCTTGGGTAGAGAAGCACTTTAGGACAGACTGTGTCAAATTATGTTGCACTTCTGCTAACTGAAGCTCACAGTAGTAGGAACATATGGCTTCAGTGAAGCTGCTTGCTTATAGAATTCACCATTAACAGTCTCAATATTATGCTACAGCTGAATCACTCCCTCATTAATGTGAAAGAGAATTGCTACTAGATTTGAAGCTGTTTCCCTTTTTACTCTTCAAAGCATAATAGATTTGAATGTTCTTAAATTGGCTCATTTATATTACCAGGATAAACTAGTAAGGAAAAAAATCTGTACAGTGTCATATCTATTAGTCGTTACCATGTGCTGCATGATATATTTTAGTATTATAAGATGTAAATTTCTGGAAATCAGTTGAAGAAGGATCTCATATGGGAAGGGTATTTGAGGGTGAGGGAAGTGTTGAAATACAGAAGACATTCCTTTTATAATCCTTATTTTTTAGTCAACTCTCTACTGAGATATAGTTTAGACATAAAAGGCAATCATTTAAGGGTACGTATTGATGAGTTTTGACGGATTTATACACTTACGCAGCCACCGCCACAATGAAGATATAAAACATTTTCATCACCCCAGACATTTCCTAGTGCTCCATTCCCATCACCTCCCTCTTGCATCTCCCTCCGTTCTCCAGTCCCAAGGAACCACTGATCTGTTTTCTGTCTCTACATTACTATTTTCAGGATTTCATATAAATGAAATCATATATATTCTCTTATGACCTTAATTTTATTAGTTTAGAAACATAAATGTATTGTGCATTAGAGACAAAGCCTGTTAACTTCCCTAGCAGAGCTGCTTACTCTGGCTGAAAACCATGCCCAGAATCTCTCAGGAGCAGACTTAGTAAACCAATTTAGAAGAGACCGGTTAGTGAGTATGCAGTGAGAAATAACTATCAAGATGTGTTGCTCATCATATTTGCTCCCTATTGGCCAATCTATATGTAAATCCAAATTATAGCTAGAAATTTGCCTGGTGAGCATTCCGTTAGAGCAGGGGCAGTGCTTTGGAGAACCATATGGCCATCTTGCTGTGATGGCATAACGTGTTATTTATGATTCATATACTCGTGTTATATCCATCTTGGTTATGAGTAATAGGCTTGATTAATTTTTATTTTAAATTTTATTATATTTTCCCAGCATCTAGTATAAAAATATTGAAACATATAGTGAAGTTAAAAGAATTTTATAGTAAACCCCTGTATACCCACCACTTATAGTCAACTATTAACATTTTATCATACTTGCCTTACCAGATACTTACCTATCTCTCCATCTGTTTGTCTATCAACCCATCATAATTTTTGATGCATTTCAAAGTAAATTTTAGACTTCAGTGTATTTCTTCCTAAATACTTGAACATGTATTTGAATATATTTTTTATTTCTTCTCTCACACCATATTGAGACACCTTACAAGTGATTCATTTCATCCACTATGTGTGGATTTATGGAGAGTGATACCTTACTTTGCCTCAGTAATGTGCAGCTCAATTAGGTCACATGATTTTATCATTCAAATTTTGGAATTTTTGAGGGCCTACAGAAAAACTGGAGGGAGAAGTTTACCTACCTTTTATTTCTACCTGCCCTCTCTCCATATTTCCAAGATGAATTATCCTTTGGTGATTTATATACTTTAATTTTTGAATGTTTTGTTCAAGGTTCTCAAATGTCACTTCAGTTTATCTAATTGTGCCCTTATTTTTAAAAGAGAATGGTCCTCAACTCTTAGAGTGCATGAAAAAGGTAAATTGAACATTGACTGGATATTTGATGATGTTAATTTCTTAATGTTTGAAGATGATATTGTGGAGACACAGTATCATTGTGATAAAATGATAAAGATAAACAGGCCTTTATTCTTTAGAAATAGATACTGCAGTGTTTATAGAATTTGAGGGGTAATATGGTGTCTGAGGTTTGCTTCAGAATAATCCAGGGATGGGGAAATGTGAGACAAAATCGACCTTGTTATTGAAGTTGGATGATTGTTTGGAGGTTCAGTATACTGTTCCCTCTACTTTTTGTATATATTTGAAAACTGCCATAATAAAAAGTTAGAATTACACAATAAAAGGTGGGCTGTTAGTAGGCATCCAAATTCAAAATCGAGGAATGTCTTAAGTTCTTTTTAGAGAAAATCTAAAACGTCTAGTATGTCATTTTAACATTTTCTTTATATCTAATCTATAAATATCATTGTCAGTAGTATAATTTCTTTTTATTTCTTGCTCTGGACTAAAATGCAAAACCCTAAACCTTTCCTAGAGCTTTGTTACTACAGGCCACTTAATTTAGATTTTTTTTTTTTTTTTTTGAGACAGATTCTCACTCTGTTGCCCGCCAGCCACCTCAAACACCTGACCTTGAGCAATCTGCCCACCTCGGCCTCCCAGAGTGCTAGGATTAGAGGCGCGTGCCACCACACCCACCACTCCTGGCCTTAATTGAGATTTTGATAAACAAAATATTTGACATAAGGTCTGTGGTAAACTACTTTTACTAAGTAATAAACCCTGAAGTTTTAAAGTGCTTACCATATGTAGCACACTGGAGTAACATGTTTAGTGGGCAACAATTATGTGTTACAATTTAACTTTATTCTTTAAAGTACATATGCAGACCTGAAAATAAGTGTTATGTAGGCCTTATAACAAAGCAATATTGTAGCTTAATTAGTATTTCTAAGGTGCAAGTGTTGCTCTGATAGCATCGAAAGGTAAGGTTGCTAATAAGAAATGACCAAAAGCATTTTAAAGAATAATGAAAATAGCATTATATTGTTATGATTGTATCATGTAATCCCGGTTAAAAGTGATACTGAATATAAGCATTTCCTATTCTCTTGTCCTGTTTTCTTGCAAACAAAGTACAGTGGCAAGTTATCAAGGTTAATTGTCTGGCCAGGCTTTTATCAACAGTCTCACTTTAGTTTCTTACATTTCTTTCCCAACCTTTCTAATAGGTGTACACCTCGCAGTCTTCTAGTATCTCCAGAGTGAAGCCCACTGTGGACAGGATTCTAACTTGGAGGGACCATGGAGCAGTATACAGCAAACAGCAATAGTTCCACAGAGCAAATAGTTGTGCAGGCTGGACAGATTCAGCAGCAGGTATGAAGTAAAACTACTTTTAACAGTCCTACTCAATTGGTTGGAATATTACATGGGGAATTATTTGAGAGGAATCTTGTGAAATATTGGGTGTGATGGCTTGTGAAGCACTGTATCCAATCCATGACCACTTAGAATCTGCTCTTACTGAGGACCTGGTTTAATAATAAATTGCCCCTTTTAGCTCACTAAAAGTCAAAACAACAAAGTCTGTTTTTCAGATGGAAATTTGGAGGGGTTTTTGGCTTGTTTTTTTTGGATTCAGTTTATTGTTTTCTTTTTTTTGTTTGCACTAACTTGTGGTTTAGTAAGCATTTGGCCACAACAGTCAAAGCATGATAGTCAGCTTCCAAGAAATCCACTGTTCTTTGATTTGGTCCACTGTAGTTTTTATCTATTAATCAAAAGCTGTAGTTTACAATTCATAATTGCAAGGCTGTGGAAACAGCCCAAGTGCCCATCAATCCAAGAATGGATTAATAAAATGTGGTATATGTATACCATGGAGTACTATTCAGCTCTAAGAAACAACGGTGATATAGCACATCTTATATTTTCCTGGTTAGAGCTGGAACCCATACTACTAAGTGAAGTATCCCAAGAATGGAAAAACAAGCACCAGATATATTCTCCAGCAAACTGGTATTAACTGAGTAGCCCCTAAGTGGACACACAGGTGCTACAGTAATAGGGTATTGGGGAGGTGGGAGGGGGGAGGGGGGCGGGTATATACATACATAATGAGTGAGATGTGCACCATCTGGGGGATGGTCATGATGGAGACTCAGACTTTTGGGGGGAGGGGGGGAAATGGGCATTTATTGAAACCTTAAAATCTGTACCCCCATAGTATGCCAAAAGAAAAAAAAAAAAAAAAGAAAAAAAAAGCTGTAGTTTAACATTAGGATAATGTTTAGACAGCCACTCTGATGAATAAGTACGTATTTGAAAGGAGTATCTTGCTGCTGGTCAATTCCTAACTGATAGATTGCTTTCTTGAATCTCTATACAGATCTCATTTTCTGATGCTTTATGCCTGGGTTTATTTTAGTAAAACTTCATTTATTTCCCCACAACTAGAAGAAAAGATATTTATTATGCTTCAGTTTCACCTTAGGCCAAGATTGATATCTTGGAGCTATTTTATTTTCAAAAGAGAACTTAGCCAATATAGAAGAGTAGTAGGGACAGCAAAGGTAATGTTGACGGTGAATTTTCTGATCTAATGATCAAAGGAAGGAACCACTCTTGATTAAGAGATTAATTATTTAAACTGTCTTGCTGGCCTTTCCTTCCACACGGCACAGCTGCTATGGCTCTGGCAGCTTTCTTCAGCTGCCTTAGAGAAGGGGCTTCCTCAAAGAGTCTTCCATTCATACCCTGGAGGGTGGATTTTTGTTCTGTCCAAATTTACCATTAGGGAATATAAAAATAAGGTTAGATCACTGAAAACATGACTTCTAAGGCAGCGCAGTTGGGGTAGAAATAATCTTAGTTTTAGGAAATAAGAGCAGTGACCTAATGAAGATGATTTTGGTTCACAGTGATTAGTTTATTCTTCCTTTCTTGGTGATTGCATTTAAGCCCCCAACATTGTTCATTGTCACTTGAGGCCGTTACAGTCAATAAATTTGTTCTTGTGAACTCATTTGAGGAAATAAAAAGAACATTAGAATAATTGTATAAGCAGAAGGATTGAATTCCTATTTGTGAGGAGAAGGGACTGCATTGCAGATATTTGTGTTAATAGTAACAGCTATTTTGATGTTTTTGCATCATGGAAGTGGAGACAAGGGCTAATATCTTTGATCCTGCTACCCTCAACACAACAGCTTTAGTATAGGGAGTCTGTACATTTTGAAAGTGCTGGGTAGAATGGGGCTTTTGAAAGACTTCCCTCCCTTTTCCTCAAGAAGTAAGGTGATCTCATGTCATGAACTATACATTTCCTTCCTGGCACATTTCAAGCTCTTCCTGTTCCTGTTCTCAGCAGCAGGGTGGTGTCACTGCTGTCCAGTTGCAGACTGAGGCCCAGGTGGCATCCGCCTCAGGCCAGCAAGTCCAGACCCTCCAGGTAGTGGTGCCCTCTCTGATTCTCTGTGAGCACTGCATGAACTCCTCTCCTCATGTCTGGTGCTATTTGTATTAGGATCTCAAGTAGGAATGGCAAAGTCAGTTGCATGTCTTTGATGCTGCTAACTTTTCTTTGAAGCTTATAAGATGCCAGTTTCCTAATGTTTCATGCCAAGTCATATCGTGAGCCTGTATCAATTTTCTGAAAATTGCATTTGGCTAGTGTGTTTCTTTGGGAATGCCTGGAAAAGAAATGGTTTAAATGACTGGAAGAAATTCTTATAAGTGGCATTAGAACTTATTCAGAGCTCCAGCTCTTAATCAGTTACATGATAAAACTTAATGAATTTGTATTATAGTGAAGAAAGTATATACATATATAGAGACACATATGAACTAGATTAGACTGTGCTTTATTTTGATTAAAAGGACAATTCAACTGCAAAATAATCGTTACACTTGGCAAGTTTTATCTAAGCACTGAATCCTGCTAATCTTAACTGATGTCTTTTCACTACCTTTTCTGGGGAAATACTGATCTTTCTTATTACTAAATCTGCAGAGATGACCCCACATACCTCTTGGTTGGGTGGGGATGGATATGCTCTCTATAAGTCTTAGATATTACAGCCACTGTAAGAATTCTTAGTTAACCAATGCAGTTCTTTAACATTATGTATGGCCAAGTTTATCCTAAATTAGGGCTATAATTTGGCCAGTTCCTATAAAAAATAGGAATAGGGAGCACTAGTATACTCTTGTGTCTAGGTTACTTTTACTAAAATGACTATATTAATATTTTTGAGAAATTGGCAAGGTTTGGGTGCCCTAACTGTTTTCCTCCGTTGAATTAGAAATGATTTAAAGTAGGACCTAGAATATAGAACTGGCATCTCAGTCTGTTCTCTAATACTAGTTCTGCTAAGCATCCTGCAGTTAACTGCCCTTTATTGTATAATATTAATAATTATTTTGCTTTACCCTTTCAGTCCCACCCCCACCTCTGCTATCACTAGTGTTTGGTGATGATGTCCAGCCAATTCTGAATATAAATTAGGTTGAAAGAAGCTGAGCTTGTAGGTACTCCCGAGCTGTATTAGAATCTCACAGTCCAACAGCTTGTTCATGTTTTTCATGCTTGCTTCATCTTACTGATAGATAAAACAGTATTTTGGATTGTCATTAACCATTTGTGGAATGGGAATGTAACATGCTCTTAACTGTATGGCTTCTTGTCTGATGCATGTGTCCTTGTAATCATTGTTATGTTGTAAATACAGTGGACTTTTTAGAGTCTCAAATTGTTTATCATGCACACAATAACATGTTAGTGGGGGGAGAAATTAAGGTGAAGGATAGCCTGAAAATTACTAATATTTATGTTTTAAAACTTGTGTTCCCTGCTTATATAGATTTTTATTTAAAAGAAATGGAAATACTTTACAGAAAAATAGAAACCTTTCCTCTAGGGATCTCCTTATATTTGGAGAAGTTTAAATGGTTCTTTCAGTTATTCATGTAATAAGTATTCTGAGAAATCTTTCTTGATATGGAATATGCAAACATTGGTATAGGAAAGGGAATTCGGTTTGGAATGTGGAAGTATGGGAAGGAGAAAGCATGAGAGAGTCAGACTGTAAACTCCTTAAAAGTAAAGTGGAATTCTCAGTGGGCAGTGTAACAAAACCTGGGATTGGAATGTTCCTGGTAATTCTGATAGAGTTGTGGTGGTAGTGGTGGTGGTGCTGGTGGTGGTAGTGGTAGTGGTAGGAGGGTCTTACTACCTAACCTACTCATCTAGGACGGATTGATCTTTTAATTAATTGCTGTTATTTGAACATTTGCACTATCATTCAGAATGAATATTTTATATATTCATTCTATATGTATTATATATATAGTCTTTTATTCTGTGACAGATAATTCCTTGAAACAAAGATAGAATCTGAAAATGACAGTTTAGAATTTTTAGCTGTTATGTTGATCACTTCGAAAGTTCACTTCTAAAGTGGCTCATTTTTTAGCTTCCAGAAAGCATTCTACTGGGTTGTTTTTTTGTTTGTTTGTTTTTTGACAGAGTCTCACTCTGTTGCCTGGGCTAGAGTGCCTTTTAAAAAGGCAAATAGCATTGGGATCTTGTCATGATTTTAGCCTGTGTTTGGTGCTAAATACCTTTTATCTACTGGGACTTCCAAAGACTCTGGTTATACTCCATTGTATCTGACCTTAAAGTATTGAACTTGGCATTTAGTGACAGATATCACAGATAATTTGAAGATAACTTAAAGACTCAAGATATACTTTCTTAGTGTCTCTCCTACCTTTTCCTTCTCTAGCAAGGCAGCAGAATAGTTCCAGTAATTATCTTTTGGTAAAAACCATTAGGCGTCTTATGTTATTTCATTGCTTTTATTTTTTTTTTATTCTAGGTTCAGGGGCAGCCATTAATGGTGCAGGTCAGTGGAGGCCAGTTAATCACATCAACTGGCCAACCCATCATGGTCCAGGCTGTCCCTGGTGGACAAGGTCAAACCATCATGCAAGTACCTGTGTCTGGGACACAGGGTTTGCAGCAGGTGAGTGATATTAAAAAATGTTTTGACAGTATATCAAAGTAGAGGTTTTAAAGACTTAGATTGTTACAAACTGATAGTTGATGCTGCATTTAATTGCTTCCGGAAATTCCCATTTTGCAGTTAGTTGATTTTCCACCTTTGTATTAGTATTACCAATGATATAAACTAGAATTATGCAGAAATTGGACACCTCCAGTAAGGATTAAGATATTAAGCATGGTCTTCAATTGCTCTAAAGAATTTTGTAAAGAGATGAGAATCTACTTTATGAAGTATTTCATTGATGTGACTTATGTTTGCACGGGGGGGGGGGATGGGCAGGGAACTTAACAGTTGGCTTTGGAAATTATTGTTTTTGGTCAGAAATGTTATTCTTTTAATTTATTTTCATGTAACTTGTCATTTGTGTTATCTAGCAAGTAATAAAAAAGAAAATTGCCGGGCGTGGTGGCTCACGCCTGTAATCCTAGCACTTTGGGAGGCCAAGGCAGGCGGATTGCTCCAGGTCAGGAGTTCGAAACCAGCCTGAGCAAGACCCCGTCTCTACCAAAAAATAGAAATAAATTAATTGACCAACTAAAACTATATATACAAAAAATTAGCCGGGCATGGTTGGCACATGCCTGTAGTCCCAGCTACTCGGGAGGCTGAGGCAGTAGGATCACTGAGCCCCGGAGATTGAGGTTGCTGTGAGCCAGGCTAACGCCACAGCACTCACTCTAGCCTGGGCAACAAAGTGAGACTCTGTCTCAAAAAAAAAAAAAAAAAGAAAATTTTTCAGTCTAAACTTATTGCACACACCTAAAGCTATACTTAGAACAAAATTTATAGCCTTAAATACTTTAAAAGAAACGAAGAGCAGTGATATTTCTCTTAAGAAGTTAGGGAAAGAACAAATTGAACAAAAAGTAGGTCAAAATTAAATAGAAACCTGACAAAAATGTAGAAAGCCAGGTTCTTTAAACAGACCAATAATATAAATAAATATATTTGAAAGACTGATTGAAAAATAAGCGAAAGATAAAGATTAAAAGAAATGTGTCGAAATGTTACATATAACTCTGTAGCATCAGATTTTAAAATTAGAGGGATGTTTATCATCAAGTTGGCAGAAATTAAAAAGGGATTATATCCACTGCAAGAATGGATGTGGAGAAAAAGAAACATTCATCATTTTTGATAATTTCAAATTATAAAGTTATGTTGGAAAGGCATCTCGCTATCACTCTAATACATAAACCTTTTGAACTAGCTGTCTCTGACTTCTGAGAATTTGTCCTATAAAAAGAAATGCATCAATATGTAGGGAGACATTACAAAGACATTCATCACAGCATTAAACTAGCAAAAAATTTTTGTAATCTGAATGTATATTAATAAGGATAAAGAAATGGATATATCATAATTATTCACATATGGAGTATCATCCTTAAAAGGGATGAACTGTTGACTTGGGGATTAATAGTGGGGATTAATAGATTAATACTTGTTAATAGGCCGGGCGTGGTGGCTCACGCTTATAATCCTAGCACTCTGGGAGGCCGAGACGGGTGGATTGCTCAAGGTCAGGAGTTCAAAACCAGCCTGAGCGAGAGTGAGACCCCGTCTCTACTATAAAAAAATAGAAAGAAATTAATTGGCCAACTAATATATATATATAAAAATTATCCGGGCATGGTGGCTCGTGCCTGTAGTCCAAGCTACTCGGGAGGCTGAGGCAGGAGGATCGCTTGAGCCCAGGAGTTTGAGGTTGCTGTGAGCTAGGCTGACGCCACGGCACTACTCTAGCCTAGGCAAGAAAGCGAGATTCTGTCTCAAAAAAAAAAAAAAATACTTCTTAATAGTGAAACATTTTTAGTGAAAAATTATTTGCAGAGAAATATATAATGTGTGATCTTATCTTTGTAATTAATAACCAAACCCCCAGAGTATATATGTTTATGAGCATGGAAAGGGAGTGAAGGAAAACTTAACTTTTTACTGTATTTGTATCTTTATATTATTTCAACAGTTACAACAATCACATTAATGTCTTAGTTTTTCTGAAGGAATTTAATGTAAGTTGGAAAAAAAATCAGCCATGATCACACTGCATAATGTTCAATCAATTTGATGAATCATAATTTTCAATTTACAAAGTATACTTAAAGGTTTTGTTTTTTTTTTTTTTTTTGCTTTTGTTAGTCAAGTTACTGTAAATATATTTCAGCATGATAGTTTTATTAATATTTTTCAGTTGAAATCTTAAAGTAATTTCTTTGGAGTGAGAGTTGCTTGGGCAAAGGGTAAGAGCATTTTTAAGCCTATTGGCATATTTTTGTCAAGATAGAATTGTAGTTGGGATTAAAAACAGTTTGCACATTTCTCATGCATAAATGTATGAGGCTTTAAATGTATTTTCAGTATGTGCTTTTCTGTTTCCCATGCTATATCATTTCTGTCCTTCCTCTCCACTCCTGCCCCACTTGCTGCATATTCTTCACTGTAGAATACAGACACCGTGATTCAGTGCTACGAACGGTGTACTGTGAGTGTAGTGACCCAACTTTCATTACCAGGTCTGCCATTAAACAAGTTCTCTGATCTTGATCAAGTCATTTAATTGTTGGTTTTCTCATCCAAAAATACAGTTATGTTGGTTGATATGTAGGGTTCATTCTAGCTCTAAATTCTGTGGTTTTATGGGGCTTTGTTTTGTATTGTTTTGCTGTAAGAGACCTTAAAAGGGTGGTTTTATTTCACTGGTCCAAGTGGGGCTATAACTAATCTCGCTGGAAATTATTTTCTGTTATCTAATTAAAGCTCTAGGTGAGATTCCATAGCCTCCCCTACAATGCTTAAGGCTTTAATTCCTTTTGTATAAGAGATTGTTTCTCATTAGTGTTCTTTGAATGGCTATTTTTTAAAGAAGAATACTTCTTAACCTTTTTTGGATTGTACTCTCCATTTTAGAATTTCAATGAAGCCTGTGCCCTCTAAGAAAAAAGAGCAGATGTCTAGATACTTGAAAAATTTTGCATACAGTTTTAGGTTAAGATCCTTGGCCTGATAAAGACCAGGGATCAAGACAGTTGAACCAGAGTAGAAAACCAAAAAATAGATGTAAAAATATTGGACTTGGTATGTAATAAAAGCATATTAGTGAAGAAATGGCTCAAGAATGATACAGAAAAAGAAAATTGATTTCTACCTCATACTGTATTTAAAAATACTTGCTAAATGGATTAAAGATCTAAATATAAAAAAGCATATTTGGAAAATTTAAAAGAAAATACAGGAGAATTTTCTTTATGCTAGCAAGGTAGAGAAGGATTTCTTGAAGACAGAAAAACACATTGATTTGCTTACTTTAAAACTTGTATACATTGAAATACATTATAAGTAAAGATAAACAAGGTCCAGACTTAGAAAAGTTATTTATTTATTTTTTTTTTTTTGAGACAGAGTCTCACTTTCTTGCCCAGGCTAGAGTGAGTGCCGTGGCGTCAGCCTGGCTCACAGCAACCTCAATCTCCTGGGCTCAGCGATCCTACTGCCTCAGCCTCCCTAGTAGCTGGGACTACAGGCATGCGCCACCATGCCCGGCTAATTTTTTTTGTATATATATTTTTAGTTAGTCAATTAATTTCTTTCTATATTTTGGTAGAGACGGGGTCTTGCTCAGGCTGGTTTTGAACTCCTGACCTCGAGCAATCCGCCCGCCTTGGCCTCCCAGAGTGCTAGGATTACAGGCGTGAGCCACCACGCCCGGCCTGAAAAGTTATTTTTAATACATATAACTGGGTTTATATTCAGAATATATAAAGAATTTTTATGTATTCATACAAAAACAACAGTCCAGTAGAAAAATGGACAAAGAATATAAACATATAGTAGAGGCAATTCTACTAGCCAATATAGACAGGTATACCTTGCTATCTGGAACTCAGGAATGATATAGATTTAGATAACCAAGTAAATTTGTTTACGTATTTATTAATTTGCCAACACTTTCTAAGTGACAATTATGAGCTTAAATGTTTGGAGAACTGAACCTTCTTCCAAACTGCCAGCTCTGTTGAAGCAACACTCCAGTCAAAAATGTTTGTTGATGGAATGAATGAATGGTTAAAGAACTAATGGGAAAACTTAGTAGCTGTACATGTACTCTTTGGGTTTGAGGGTATTCTTGAATATAAAATGCTAGAAATACCAAGCTGTGGAGCCTCCTAAGTGCTTTCTCTTTTGATCTTGGAAAAAAATGTATCTGGTAGTCATTATATGGAAACAGGATTCTATACACCCAACATTTAAAGTGTTGTGTTACAGTTTAAGTTACAAAATTTCAGAGAAATATTTTTCAGTCTTGTCAGGTTTCTGATTATATTCCTAATGAAGTGGCTATAGCCATACAACAAGAAAGAAAATAGATTTGGATAACATAGGATTCCGCTTTCCATAATTGCTATCTGAGGTTTAGCTATACAAACCTAGGAACAAAATAGGAAATAAAAATTAACAAAAAATTGGCAAATGTTGATGATAGTATTGACCATTGGTGAGGGTACTGGAAATAGGAATAAGAAGAATATAATCTGTTACATTGCCTTAGTTATCTATTACTATATAACAAATTATCCTAGAAGTTAGTAGCTTAAAACAATACACATTTATTTTATAATTTCTGTAAGTTAGGAATCCTAGCACAGTTTAGCTGGATCTTCTCAGTGTCTTTTTGGAGGCCCTCATCAAGGTGTTGACCTGGGCTGTGGTCAGATCAACATTTGACTAAGGTAGAATACATTTTGAATATACTATATTAGGATACATAATATTTACATACATAATATTCTTTGTCTGTAAAAAGTACTTCAACGTGTATTTTCAAATGAACATGCCTTTAAAATATATATAACCATACCACCACTATCTTTCAAAAAACTGACACTGATTTCTTAATATCATCAGGTATCCAGTGTTCAGAATTCCCTGGTTTTTTCCATAAATGGGAAATAAGTTATCTCTAGTTCATAATTGAGGGCAGAACAGGACTCTCCTGTCTTTTTTCCTCTTAACATTTCTTGCTTTCTAGAGAAATTCAGATAACGAACACTCAGGGACCAGAAGAGACCAGTGTCAATAGGTGCTATCCTTTCTTTGTGTTTCCTACTGCAGATACAGTTGGTCCCGCCTGGACAGATCCAGATCCAGGGTGGGCAGGCTGTGCAGGTGCAGGGCCAGCAGGGCCAAACCCAGCAGATCATCATCCAGCAGCCCCAGACAGCCGTCACTGCAGGCCAGACTCAGGTAATTCCACTAGCTGTCAACATAGGAACACAACTGTGATTTGGAAGAGTCAGATAACTGAGTCAAATGTTTCATGTGTAGTAGAAATGGGGAAGAAAACTATCAAAAAAAAAATTTTTTTTTTAAGGACCACATGGTTCTTTTCTTTGTGGGCGTCTTTGGAATCTATTGAATTATGTCATTATTTCCTACAGACACAGCAGCAGATTGCTGTCCAGGGGCAGCAAGTGGCACAGACTGCTGAAGGGCAGACTATTGTCTATCAGCCAGTTAATGCAGATGGCACCATTCTCCAGCAAGGTAAGTATCCCCATAGGTTTCCCTGGGACTTCTTGGAGCATCATTTTGTCCCTTGGGCAGCTGCTTCCGAATTTTAATGGTGAACTCTATGTGACATTTTTTTGAACAAAAAAATTTTCTTTGAGCTCCCCATTGATTGTTGGTTTCTTGTCACCATACGTAACTAATACTGGTTCCATTTGTAGGGGTTCCTACGGTGGCCATTAAGACTGGTCCCATGGATTGTATAAATTTTTAATGCTTTTAGGGAAGAAATGTTTCTAAATAGAAGATTGGAAATAGGGAGGTTTTTTATTGGTAAAGGTAGAAACTGATCAGAAATCACTTTAGAGTGTTTTTGTTTGTTTTTTGTTATTTTTTTTATGGATCACTCCATTATTAATTTATTCCAAAAAGACTTCTTATAGGCCTTACTTTATATACAGCACTTTACTAAGAAAGAAGAGTTCTCAAAGAGCCTCTAGTTTTGTAAGAAAGACATGTGAACAAATAAATACCATGCAAGGCCCTGATAGAAGTATGTTACAGGAATAGATGACACATCAATTAAGGGAGGAGGAGTGATCAAACTGGACTTGAAGGCTTTGGAAGCATGTGTTAGATAATGGGATAGTTAAATCAAGAAAGGACATTTCACTTAGATTTCATGGCTAAAGGTTTGGCTTGTGATTAAAATTTTGTGTTATACAAGGTCCAGAGAGCATAGTAACCATGTGCTCTCGTACGACTCAGGAGAGGGCCTGAAATGGATTGAGCCCAGCAAGAGCTCAAACAGAATGGTGAACAGATCCTCAAATGCTGCTTTTGATAGTTTGGGGACTTAGAATGCTTGATTTGATTGTAAATTTTAGTCCTGCAACTGACTCTTGGTCTGTTTGGGGTAAATAAATTATAAGTTCATAAAATTTCTATCCTGAAACAGGATCTTGTTCATATGTACAAGAACAGTGGATATAGCTATAGTCAGATTGACCTATGGAAGGGCAGGCCTCCAAACTTTCTCAATTTTTGAAAACTGTTACTGGAATTCCCAAGGAAGTATCCATTTCAAGGATAGATTTACTCAGAGCCACATCCTAGACAGTTAATAGAATTTCAATAATTGCAATTACTTGGATTCTGTACAGCAAACCAGAGTGGAAGAGTACTTTTTCTCCCTTATGTTTTTAGTATGTTTTCCCAGGGTGAGTGAGTGTGTGCCAGATGGAAGAGGGACTAACTATGTTCCCTTCTTTCTGTGCCTGTTTTTTGTTTGTTTTATGTTTTGTTTTCTTAAAGTTACAGTCCCTGTTTCAGGCATGATCACCATCCCAGCAGCCAGTTTGGCAGGAGCACAGATTGTTCAGACAGGAGCCAATACCAACACAACCAGCAGTGGGCAAGGGACTGTCACTGTGACACTACCAGTGGCAGGAAATGTGGTCAATTCAGGAGGAATGGTCATGGTAAGAAAACTGATTCTTCAGTTTGCTGTTCTCATGTAATACAGTTTTTTGGGGGTTTTTCTGTTTTTGAGATTGCTTTGTTGCCCAGGCTAGAGTGAGTGCTATGGCTGTCAGCCTAGCTCACAGCAACCTCAAACTCCTGGGCTCAAGCAATCCTCCTGCCTCAGCCTCCTGAGTAGCTGGGACTACAGGCATGTGCCACCATGCCCGGCTAATTTTTTCTATATATATTAGTTGGCCAATTACTTTCTTTCTATTTATAGTAGAGACGGGGTCTTGCTCTTGCTCAGGCTGGTTTCAAACTCCTGACCTCAAGCAATCTGCCCACCTCGGCCTCCCAGAGTGCTAGGATTACAGGCATGAGCCATGGCGCCCGGCCACAGTTTTTTATATATCTCTTTCTCTTTGAAATTTTCTCAAACTTGCAACTCAATGTCTCATAAAATGTGTTTATAATGTTGACCTCTCTGGATTGAGATTGATCCTTAAGGCACTTACAGTGATCTACTTTTACAATAACATTGTGACAAACTGTAATTAATTCTGAGCACCTACTGCGTACCAGGGACTATTCTAGTGCTGGACATATAGCAGTGGATAAACAGGTGTAAATATCTGATTTTATGCAATTCTATTCAAATAATGAAGGGAGGGATAGCATACATCTGATCTTTGGGTAGTAGAACATGTATTGCCTATGGTGGATGAAATAAGAAATAAACTAAAAATTACAAAGATTTTTAATTAATAGAGAAACCAAAAATGTGATAAATATATTGGTAGGATAGAGAAAGAGGGTTGGGTGGTGTGAGTGAAAGCTAAATCCTCCTATGTCAAAATAGGATGTTAGTGCACAGGAATTAAAATGGATAAATTTAGAATGAGTAGTAGTAGTCTGCACAGAGATGGAGGAAACTACCAGGGGAATCAATGTAACCATTGATAGTATTTGTAGTAGGGCAGGGGGTGGGATATAGGGCCCTGTTACTTGTTTCCTCATACATATGGTAAAATGTTTTTTTATTTGCTTGTGTAGAAAAATTAGGATTGAATTATATCATAAATTAACTATGTAATTAAATTATTTCTGTTACTATAGGCATTTACCAGGTAGTAGCACTTGGTCAATCTGTACCACCCTTCCCTTTTGCTGTTTTATTATCTTATCACTACTGTTCCTGACCATTAGATGGCAGCAGACATACCTAGGAAATAGATCCACCTGTGGACATGAATATGGGCATGGTTATGTCCTTTGAATGTGCTCCCTGAGCCCCCTATGACACGATCATCTGGGGTGTTTGTTTAAAATGCAGACCATTAGCATAAATGTCCTCCAGGAATCTGTACTTAACCAAGTACCCTACAAAAGTTACTTTTTGTGGCATTCCGAAGAAAATAGATTAACAGGGACCAAGAAACTGTTTCCTGTGTCCATACTTCTGCCACCAATAAGCTCTGGTTTCGTGTTCACACAGATGGTACCTGGGGCTGGCTCTGTGCCTGCTATCCAAAGAATCCCTCTACCTGGAGCAGAGATGCTTGAAGAAGAGCCTCTCTATGTGAATGCCAAACAGTACCACCGTATTCTTAAGAGGAGGCAAGCCCGGGCAAAACTAGAGGCAGAAGGGAAAATTCCAAAGGAAAGAAGGGTATGTAATAATAACATGGAGAAGGATATAGGAGAACAGCAGAATTCTACTTTTGAAATTATCTTTTATATGGTGTGTTTTCTTGAGTACCTTCCAAACAATTGAAGTTAGACAGAAGTTAGATAGCTGTTTTTGTAGAAGTTAGCGTTTGTTATTACTATAGGTAGGTTCAACTATAATAACAATTGAAAAAACCTCAATGGCTTAAACAAGAAAAAGTTACATAAAAGAAGTCCAGAGATAAAATTGTCCTTGACCAGTAGCTCATTTCCACAGTTCTTAAGACTCATTCTCCTGTCTTACTGCTAATATTCTTAGTCTACTCTTCATAATCCAAGATGACTGCTTGGGCTCCAGCCTAGGAGCAAAGAGAACAAGAAAGTTTCTCTTTCAAGGAAACTCCCAAGAAGTTCTGTACATCTTGTTAGCCAAAATTTATTCACCTGGTCACACTTAACCTGCAAATAAAACTGGGAAATATAGTCTTTTTACTGAGCAGCCATTTGCCCAACTAAAATTTGGCCTCTTATTAAAGCCAAAGGGAAGAGCATATATTGGGAGGTGTAGGTAGTGATCTCTGCAATACTTTCTGAAACACTGATTTAGCATTCACATTCTTGTGGTAGGTATATATGTGTGTGGTTAGCTGCTATCTTAGTCACTTAATTGTTTTCTCCAAAGCTTTCTTCATTATTCAAAGTCCTAATTGTCCCTTGTGGCTTTGATCACAGCTGTCTTAACCTTTTCAGGATGAAATCTGTGCATTAAATAACTATGCTGGTTCTGGCTAGTATTTAAATGGTTTTATTTCTCTCGTTGTAGAAATACCTGCATGAGTCTCGGCACCGTCATGCCATGGCACGGAAGCGTGGTGAAGGTGGACGATTTTTCTCTCCAAAGGAAAAAGATAGTCCTCATATGCAGGTAAGAAGATTTATACCTTTTATTCTTGTCTTTATTATTTTTATTTTTGTTTTTTTTTTTAAGGTTAAAGCCTTCAGCAGTGTCCTCTTGCTATTTTCACACTCAGGGACTAATCACATTCTCTAAACTGGATGTAGTATTTTATCTCTTTAGATTCCCTTTGGTCTTAAAAGCACTAAAGATTCTTAATTCAGTGGCCTTTCTTCCCTCTTCACCTTTGCAAATTATTGCTATTAATTCCTTCTTAAAAATCTCATTTTTCATAATTTTCAAGGAACAAGTTTTGTTTCTTAGTGTAAGGAATAATAGCAGCAGTTGAAACTTACGTGAGAAGCATTAAGAAATTTTTCAAACATTTTTTTTTTTTATTGAATCTTCACAGCACCTTCAAGCCTCATGAGATAAGAATTATCATCTCTGAGTTTACTTGGTCCTCATGGGGAAAAAAAAAATTATCATCTTCATTTTACAATTGAATCTGAGGTTTAGAGAGATTAAGTAATTAGCTCAAGGTAAAATACTTAGTAAAATAATGCAACTGAAATCAAGCCCAGTTAACATAACTCCAGAATTTATACTGGTTCATCCATCTAATTCCACTAATTATCTTACAAGCATTTCTGAGTCAGTATATCCAAAACAGAACTCTTGATTTATTTATTATACATAAGCATGAATCTCAACAAATGACATGTCTATCCACCCAGTTACTAAAACTAGAACTGTCCAATTCTTGATGAAGTCCTCTTGCTTTTTATCTCTAAAATATAATTTGTATTTTTCCGTCCCAACTGATGGCCTGGCTTAATCCTCTCTGGCTTAGATTAAGAAAACAGTTGCCTAATTGGTCTCCCTTCTTCCACTCTTGTCCCCCTCTAGTCCATTCTACACATCTTAGTATGATCTTTTTAAAGTGTATATCCTGTCATGTCACTGTTCTCCTCAAGCTCCTTCTGCCCCCACTGTCTCCCATTTGCACTTGGACTGAAATCCAGAGTTCTTGCCATAGCCATCAAGGCTGGCATGCTCCAGCTCCTGTCTACTTCTAGCTTCATTTCCTCCTGCTTCTTGCTCTCTATGCTCTTTCTCTCAGTCCAATGCTCCGTTTCCTGCCATGGGCCTTTGTCCTTAACAATTTCCAGTCTATAATACCCTTCACTCCATCTCTTTGCATGGCTGTCTCTCTCTTTTATCTTTTAGGTCTTGGTGTAAACTGAAGAGGCAATGCCAATCCCACTCTATGTAGAGTATGTCTTTTCTATCTCCCTATTTTCTTACAACATCTTCCTTTTCTTTAGAGTGTAATAATACTTGAATGGTTGTGTTTAGTTGTTCAAAACTGTTTTCTTCACTAGACTATAAGTTGTGTTGGGGCTCGAGGATTGTTTTGTTCTCTGTTGTATTTAATTGGACTTAGTACTATTTAAGTAAGTTAGTTGTGTTTAAGTACTAACTTAGTTGTGTTTATTGGATTTAGTGTCCAATTCTGAACAAGCTTTCAGTAAATGTCTGGAATTAATGGATTCCTCCCATATACTGATAACTTCATTCTGCATGAACATCACATTCCACCTGCACTATTGCAGTATCTTCTCAATTCATCTCCACTAATTGACCTTATGTAATACTGCCATATGAGTCTTTATTAGATAGTATTTTTTTAATCCTCTCACTCCCCTGCTCAATGATGCATGTTAGTTCTGTATTTCTTAACTGCATCCAATCTCAGACTATTTCTTTATAACGTCTAAGCACCTTTGCCTCATTACCCCTCTAAACAAATCTGACCAGGTTTCCTCAGTGTCCCCACACTATAGCATGTAGGGGTCAAGGGAAAAAATTTACCCTTTGCCCCTTCTGAAGCTTTGGTGAAAAAGCATTTCAAAGTGTATATAGCACAGGTGCATTATAGGAGAATGATCACCCAGTAACCCAATGAGGTACAGATGATTATACACCCTTCTTAGAGGGAAGGGAGATGAGGGAGTGTGGATTATTTTAGGGGGATAGTAAATGATTTTTACAGAAATTTAATGTGCTTAAAGAACATATAGCGGCCCAAAACAAAAGTCTGTTAGGCCCACAGAGCAGACTATGGTTTGTGACAAAAGTCTGTCCCAAGTTTGTTGACAAACTTCAGTCTTTTTTGATGTGATACGAGTTCAACAAGCACTAACAACTCTTCCAAGGCTACTAGTCCTCACTGATAGTATGAGAGACTCTCCTTTCTCAGTGCTGTCATTGCTATTCCATCATGCAGTGTGAGTGTGGTCTGCCAGCTCTAGGAGTATATTATCCTAGGAACTCTAATTCTCTTTGCTAACAATATGACATTGGTCAGTTTACTGAATATCTTTTAGCCTTTATTTTATAAATAAAGGCTAAAAGAGGAGTACTTCATCTGTACAATGGAATAGCGTTGAATACTTAACAGGAATGCTGTGGGGATTTCATGTAATAATCCACATTAAGCACCTACTTAGTGCTGTACCTAGTGCGTGGTGAGTGTGTAGTAGATGCTAATTATTATTCTGGCTCATTCAAGACCTAAATCCAGTCTTCCACCTCCAAGAATTTTTCAACTTCTCCAATCTTACCTACTGAGGTCTCAGGGCCTTGGTATGGAGAAACTAAAGGTGGTTCTTGTGGAGTGTTGTAAAATGGCTCTAAGGACTGATACTTGTGTTAATACTGCAGGTCTTAAGTGAAAAGCAGCACACAGAGTTTAGTGGAAAGAAGATTAAATGGGAGTCAAGGGATTTGGGAGTTAGCTCTTGCTGGACTCCTGATCAACTTTCTGATCAACTTTCTAACTCTAGTCCAGGCAGATTACCCATCTGGGCTTCAGATTTGTCTACAAAATGAGTGCATTAAAGTGTGTAGATTCTAGTGTTCTTTCCAGCCCTGCTGAGTACTCAGTATTTAAATGTGATGATCAGAAAATAATTACAAAAATACAGCATGACATGGTTTCTCTGGATCTTTTTCTTAGCCACCTGAATACCCTTAACCCCTTAAGAGTACAGTATAACACAAGATGCTTAGGAAAGAGATAGACTAGCAACTCTGGAGTATTTGGCCATGGAGTGCCAAACACTTATTCCCTTAAGAATAAGGTTTATTTTTCTCTTCTTGCCTAAAGAGGCTGCACTTTTTAAGCCATGTGTGCAGATTTAGATGCATTACAGGCCTTTGGTTTACTTGGTAAAGTTGTGTGTATTCTGTTGAGGAGAAGTAGTGAGAGCCAGGAGTTCCCTCTTGGCTTTTGCAAAAGACTTTAATCATTATTTTGCCATCTTTGTCCCTCCAGGATCCAAACCAAGCTGATGAAGAAGCTATGACACAGATCATCCGCGTGTCTTAACCCCAGGCCATGTGATGGAACTGATCAAGGTCCGTTCCTTGCCACTGTTTCCCACTGTTCCAGGAAATTGATCAGCTCTTCCAATGGGACACTGACGATCACATTCTGCCCTTTTCTACAGGACAGAAACCACTTAGTTTTTAATAAGTGGCTCAGTATTATAATTGCAGTGATGTCTGGCAAATTGAAGCTGCAAGCCTTTGTCTTACTCTTTCAGTCAGGACCTATTTCAGACTGTTGAAGACATTGATATTTCATGGATTAGGATGATGCAAGGAGACACATGCCAGCCCAGCAGTACTCAAGCACTTACATTGACTGGTAAAGCCAACCAGCCACCTCAGCAAGGAAGAACAACCTTCTCAACCTGAACTACAATCAGAGAAGCGTCTCAGCCTACTCCTTCCCATGGAATTTAGACAGCATCCATCCCTCTGGTGAGGGATCTCTGGCTGACTAAATGGACACTTTATATTCAGAGATGGCTTCCAGACAGGGAAGTTCCATCCAATAAATTCTCTGAGATACATTCATCCAATCTGTGGTAATAATAAGAATTTCTGTCTGCCCAGATGGTTGGTTGGTATCTTTGGACACCAACCAAGAAAAAGCTAACTGGGGATAGAATGATAAAAGACTGGAGAACTAAAAATATACATTGCTGAATCTCTTTTTTTTTTTTTTTTTTTTTAGCTTTGAAAAGTGCTCTGCTTGTCCCTTTGTTGACAGGTCATCTGGACTGGGGTTCTTGCTGTGGCTACTTCTGAGAATTTAGAGGGTATTGGACTTTGAAACTGCCTTTCCTAAGAGAACAAAACTGTTCAACAACTTCTGTGCTGAAGAGCTGAGGACATTTGTAGTAACTCCTAAACAGAGAGCCAAACTAGTGATTTTCAATCATAGGCTTTGTGACAGCATTTGGGGAACTGTCAGCCTAGGAGGAGAGAAAGAGTAGTACATATACCCAAATGTTGTCATAGAGCATGATTCTCCAGTGGACGGATACCTGGGATGGATTATTAAGATAAAGAGACTAATTCACATTTTACACTAAAACTTTTAACAAGCACTGAAAGGGAGATGTCTGAGATTTGGTTCTTGACAATTTCTGGAAAGCACTGCTTAATCTCGCTGTCCTGGACATAGTCCAGATTACCTGCTAGAACTTAAGGTGGATATTGGCTTCGCTCCTACCACACATTGTGCTGGCCCCAGAGAGTGAACATTCTCATTCTTCCATGGCAGCTGATTCTTTGGTGCCAGTTTTCATTTGTTTTCCCTTTCTCCATAGGCCTTGCACAGAAAGGTTTTCACATTGCATCCATCCTGTGGAAGTAAGCTGCAGAACTGGAAATAGAGATGCCTGCAGGGTCAGGAACTGGGCAGTATTTCCCAGAATGGGTTGTGCCTCAGAAACGTATTTCTTTTCTAGATGTTGAACCCTGGGAGAACTAAGATGATATTTCAGAAGAGTTGGCTGCCTCTCTGGAAACAAAGAAGGAAAACCTAGCCAGTAATTCTGAAGAACATTTGGGGTTGATTTAAATACCAAGGATAAAGATTGGTCCTTTGTTCTTTGACTTCAATCTAAACATATTAAGAACACAAAAGAAGTTAAACCCCAAACAAAAACATCATAAAGGGAGATCATTGTTACAGTAGAAATAGAAGTACAGAGCTATGCAAAGGAAATAGGAAGTGAAGTCTGGAGGATCTAACCTGTGCTGGCTTCCAGATAGCCAAAGGGCTGATCCTTTGGTAGGCTCTCTAGAAACTTCTGGCTCTTTATAAGTATTTCAGATATTAACTTTATTTGGTAAAGTTTTTCAGATGCTAAATTACTAAAAACACTGTGGAATTTATATTCCTTGTTTAGTATAGGAGTCCAAGATGCAGAGTTCAGAAAGAAATTCCTCAAACCTATTATTTAGTGTTTAAGCCACCAACAGTTCTAAAATGCTATTTATTTGTGTCTATAAGTTTGTACATAGTAATACCAACCTCATTGTTTCTGATTTTTTTTGGGGGGGGGCAGGGGGTGGGGGAGTTTGAATTTTGTTTGAATTGAAATGCTTCAGTTGTCATTGCATTTCAGATAGCTCATGACACTTTTGTGGTCATTTTAACACACTATAATAGCCCACAAAGTGGGGGCAGGGTATTGATGTTTGAATTTTTTTCTTTGTTACTAGTTATTTTACTCATTTTTCTTTATGACTGTAGTGTAACTTCACAGATGCAGAAAGCGTGAATGGATGAATGAATAATTGGTTTAATGCTAGTTATGTCATTTCTTGAGTGCTTTTTTTTTTGCAGGATAATTGTAAATGTATATATTTTAATTGCACTGGTACATTGAACATGTCAGTGTCTATACCACTGGACCAACAGAGCATTTTCTGGCTATAGGGTGCCTGATATTAATAATGTTTTGATTTTCCTTTGGGACTCAACTATATAGGTTTCTTTCCCCCCACCAGTAGGGGGAATACAGGTGATTGATCATTGATGTCATTGCAATTGTTATTTTTTAAAATAAATTTATAAAAATACTAAAACATGATTTGGCTTTTGAGGAGTCTGCAACGGGTCCTAGGTTGTGTTTGTGTTGAAATTGTTATCTCTGTGTATAGTGTCAAACTGGTTGTGTCTGGGCCTCTTGGTTTTATCTCCCCTTAATTTTTTCTTCCCTTTTGGCTCTTTTACTCAGCTGTGACCTGTGGGCTGATCGTATATTTGATGTTACTACTGGAAGTGTTCATCAAGATATATTGAAGTAATTCCATGAGTAAAATTAGCCCTTCATTTATCATCAAAATGGCCTAGATTTATTAGCTGTTAGGGACCTAAAGTAGTGAATTTTAGATTTTTTCTTTCCTTAGAAAACAAAAGCAAAAATATTTTTCTGATAAAGTTAAAAATCCACAGCATGCTCATCCTGTTTTATGGTGTCCAGAAATCTGAGCAACAAAGACTGGCAGCCTCCAACGTGTCCTTAGCACACGAAAGAGAGAAACAGCCCCCAAGGGAGCAAGCACTCATAATGAGAGCAATAGTCCTGTTCTGGCTGGAGAAAGAAAGAGAAGAAACTTTCCATAACAAGGAAAAGGACGCAGCGTTCAGTGCCTTTAGTCAGATTTATGCCTGTGAAACTCATTAGCAAATTCAGAGGTGACCCAAGACTCGACTCTGGTGATAAAGGGGAAGGACTATATCCTGTATTTGCTTTACCGCTGAAGCGTCTTCACCTCCACATTTCAAGATTAAAAATGACAGCTCTATTCCTTTGAGAGCGCCGCCCGCCGGTCTCACTCCCGACCGCTCGCGTCCGCTCCGAAGTCAACATGGCGCAGGCTGCCGGAAGCGGGCGGGGCCGCGGCCGCTTCCGATTGGCGTTGCCCCAGGGAAGTCCGCACGGATTGGTCCTCCGGGCGCCGCGAACGGTCCTGTTTTCCGGGGATTCGGCTGAATGCCCGGCGCCGCCATGGCGACGGGCGAGCAGGAGGCGGTACCGCCTCTCTGGCCAGTGGAGGCCCGCTTGGCGGCGCTGCTGCCCGACCTGCTGGTCTTCGGGAAGCGCCGGGCATCGGAGCCCCAGTTGGCCTCTGCCCAGGGCGTCCTCCTAGGCGTCCACGTGACGGGTGAGGGCGCGGGAAGTTGCTTGCAGTCCGCTGGCCTGCCAGCGGGACGGCCGTTGGGCCCAAGCTGCCGGAGGCCGCGGCCGTGCCAGCCCTGGCCCCGGCGAGCTGAGGCGCGCTCTGACTGCGCCCCGCAGCCGCCGCGGCAAACTTGAAGGGTCTTCGTTTTCAGAGCAAGAGACACATCTGGGGACGAACTAACTTGTTTAGCCCCTGAGCTCGCTCCAGAGGCGGTGTACTTGAGACTGAGAGGACCACACGGCGGGCTTTGAACCAAGTTTTCTAACCCCGAGCATTTTCCATTAAGCGTTCTGTTTTGTCTAATTATTTCATTCTTTCAATTAATTCATTTTTGGGGTCCATAAATGTGTGCCCGCCATCGTTCTAGGCGTCAGCGACATAACAGCCACTTTGAGAGTCTTTCATGTAACAAATAATGGAGTTTATTCTATGTGTCATGAAGACGGGTAATATAAGGCGCCTGTCCTCACCATATGAGTTCTCCGTAAAGCTTTAATCCATTCTCCTCGTCAGTGGTTTCTCTGTCCCACACGTGAGGGAAATCCTGGTTTCCCTTGGCCAGGGAGCCTGAGAGGGTGGGGGAAGAGATAGCTGGCTTCAGCTGGAAGGGGCGCCGCAGGTAAATGTTCAGCATCTGCAGCTGCTGGACGCAGGCTAGCCCTCTGGATCCCCACGGCGGCAACCAGCCTGGTCCCGAGTAGTTTCTAAGTAACACCGTGTTAATGGATACGGGACTTAACTAAGCTCCAAGGGATCTGTTTCCTTCACACTAGCCTGATGTGTGGAGAGAAAGGGTCCTAAAAGTTTAGGATTTCCAGCTAACATAGTAACTTTTGCTTTATTGGCCAGGGTTTACAGCATTAATAGACAGGTTCAGCCTGACCTGCAAGTCGGAGCATGACATGGACAAACTGGCCCACATCTTCAGTTACTACATTAGTGCCATCGTGGAGCGTGAGTGATCATTGTAGGGGAACACGGAGGTGTGGTGGTGGGCTCCTGAGGGTTTGCAGGAGAAGGGGGTCTGAGGTGCTTTAAAACGGGTGCTAACGGATCATTCCTGTCGCATTATTCATCTTTGGTTTCTTCAGGTTGCCATTGACAAAAGCTAGATCTTTGTGTCTGTCGTTCTATCCAGTCTGCATTACACTGTATTCAGGAGGGGGGGGGAAGCTAATTTTAATTTTGTATGTGTTTTATTTCAAAATAAAATATTCCTCAAGTTGTTTCTTCTAACAGTGATATGCCTCATGTGTGTATATCAGATATAATTTATAAAACACATAAATTTCCACTCTATCACTGCATTTTCATTCTGGGAGAAAGGAATCGGTGTTGTCTCTATTTTCTGCCATGTATTAACCTTTTGTATATTTGCTTAATATCAGATATCTGGAAAAAACTCCTTATTTATGCAGTAAACATATTTTGAGTACCTACTTAGTAACATGCATTGTAATAGGTGCAGGGGAGCAAAAACCCACTCTTGAGCCTATTAATTATGTTTGCTCAACAGAGAAATTACTCTGGCACTACACCTTTTAGATCTTATGTGGCATTCTCATCCTTTACTGACAGTGCCCTATAAAGTTATGTCCTTCATTTTGAGATTTGCCAGAATACTTCAATTACTTTGTGCATCTTCTTTAGGAATTTATTTGACTCACTCGTTACCCCTGAGGAACAAATATAAAAGGTCTTTCACTTTTTCTCATCAGGTTGGGATGAAAGGGAAGATGAAAATTATGTATTGAATATGTATTATTAATATAATACCAGGTACCACTGGGTACTAGAAATAGAGGGAAAAGTACACATGGAAACTGCCCTCAAAGAGTTTCCATTTTAGTGGGATAGATAATAAGTAAACAAAAAAAATTATAGATTATACATTCTCTTAAGGAAATAAACATAGTGAGGGGTAAGAAATAAGTGTAGGGTGGGGAAGTTTCTGTGTGAGACCAGGTATTATTTAAGCTGAGACATGAAAGATGAGGGGAACACTTTGGGAAGATCTAGGGGTAAAGCATTTCAGACAGAAGAATGCCAAGTACAAAGGTTCTGAGACAGGAAAAGGCTTGGCATATTATAGGAACTGGCAGGAGGCCAGTGTGGCCAGAGCATAGTTGGTAGGGTGAAGAGTGGCTTGAGATGAGATTGGAGGAAGGCAGTTTATCAGATCATCAAGCTCTGTAGTCCATAATAAGGAATTTGAATTTTATATTTTTGTATAAAGGCAAACTTGGAAGGTTCTAGGAGGGAAATAATATGGTCCAATTTATACTTTTTAAAGCTCATTTTGGCTGCTTCATGGAGATTGGATTTGTAGGATGCTGGTGGAGGGTGAAAGGTAAGAATAGAAGCTGGAAGAGGCAATTGGAACAGTCCTGGAGAGATGATGGAGATTTGGTCTAGGGTTAGTGGTTCTCAACCTCAACTGTACATTAGATAACCACTTGGGTAGCTTTTAAAAATGTTTTTTCCCCTTTTTTATTTATTTTTCCTTTTTGTTTTTTAGAGACAAGGTCTCGCTATGTTTCTAAGGCTGATCTTGGACTCCTAGGCTCAAGCAGTCCTCCTGCCTGAGCCTCCCAAGTAGCTGGGACTACTAGCATGTGCCACTGTGCCCAGCTACAAATCTTAATGCCTAGCCTTCACCTCAGACCATTTAAATCAGAATTTCTTGGGGTGGGCCCAGGAATAAGGACTTTTAAAAAAAAGTTTCACAGGCAATTCCAATATGCCATCAAGACTAAAGGTCTAGAGATATGGCAGTGGAGCTGTGTGGGGATGAAGTAACTTGAAATATATTTTGCAGTTTCAACAGGTAGGAGTTGCTGGTGGCTGAATTTCAGTGGGAAGTAGTGAGAAAAAGGACTCAGTTTTTTACTTTTATAACTGAATTGATAGTGTCATTTACCAAGATGAGAAATAAAATCAAAAGTTTTATTTTGAATATAGAGCTTGAGATGCCAATAAGTCATTCAAATAGAGAAATCAAGTTAGGAGTTGTGATTGAGGCAAGAGCTCAGAAAATAGATCTCTGTTAGAGATGACAATGAGAGTGGATGGCATAAAGGTGATACTTAAAAGTAAGAACTCACTTGAGTTCATGTTGGAAGAGTATAAATAAAAAGGTGCCTTAGAGTGAGGCTTGAGGAACTCCAGTGGAGGACTATTGGAGAAAGAACCTGCAAAAGGACTATAAAGCAGCCAGTGAGGTAGGATATTGTGTTCCTGTCTCTAGAAGCTTGTGGCTAGCTGTGTTGAAAAATGAAAGCTATCAAGTCCAGTGAGACAGAAAAATATTGAATTTACCAAGATGAATGTCATCGATGACCTTGATAATTTTAGTGAAGTGGTGGAAGTGGAAGTCAGATTGGAGCAACCTGAGAAGAGAATGGTAGAGAAAACATTTAAAAGAAAGAGTAATGGGAGACGAGGAAAGTGTATATAACCAACTCTTTGAGATTTTTTTTTTTTGCTATGAATATAGCAGAAAATGGAGCTATTCGGAAGAAGAGAAGGTAGAATCAAGAATAAGTGAGTTATTTTTATCGTGTTTGTTTTAAGTTATTGATGAGAATAATCCAGTAGAGAGATTGGGAAGGGAGTGAAGTCCTTGAGAGGGTGAGCGAGGACAAGATCTCTAGCACAAATGGGGTGCTAGAAAATAGAAGGGAGCAGGAATACTTCTTCCATTTTAGAAAAGATGTATTATACATAAGTACGGATATATTTGGGGTGAAAGCAGGAGGAAGGAAGAAGAAGCCTAAGAGGCTGAGTCTTGGAGTTAGTAAATAGACAAGAAAAATATGAAGAAAAACTCAGTAGGCCATTCTTTTGACTCTATATGATTCTGCCATGATCTGGTATATCACTGATTTTAACTCGTTTTCCTCTCTTTTCCTTACTTGATTTCAGATGTGCTCTGTTTTGGAGGGGATATCCTAAATATCACAGGTATTTTTCAGTGTTTCTGAATATTTAAAGAACTGCAAGTGAGGAAGACTGTAGTTAGGTGGAACTTGGCATATTTGTTTATTCAGCATTGTCTGATTATTTACTAGGTGGTGCTGGGCCCAGAGGACGTAAAGATGAGGAAGAAATAGGCTCTGCCTCAAAGAATCTCCCAATCTAATGGAAAAGCTCTGTCCAAATTAGTCTGACACGTGCTTTACATCTTGTTTAGATTGAATGACAGGATATAAATGCCCATAAAGCATTCTTGAAAAAACTGATGAGAAACTTAGTCATTAATAGCATAAGCTAAGCGTGAAATAGGGAGGAGACAAGAGTTTCCTATCTGGAGAACTCTTAGGATCATTAACAGCTATATGCTCCAGTTGGCCTCTCTTGTCATTTAAACTTAATAAAAACCACCCTAAAATTAGACTTGAACTTGAACCTACGTTTTATGAAACTTTTGCCAACATCTCTTCCCCTCTATTAGTATACTAGTAGAGGGAAGATTACCAAAAATTTCCTTAGGAACATTATAACTTCTGCCTCCTCATTTTTTTTTTTTAATGTACTGAATGGTTTTGAGGATTGGAAGCAGTATTTTAATGTAGCACAATGTATATAGCCAAGAAACCTTGCCTCACACTTTGCCTGCTATGCACACTGGATCAAGTTCATCTTCTGCATTACTGGGGACATTTCTAAATATTTGACCCCTGTCAGCCTGTCCTATGTCTCTACAGGGAATGTGCTCCTGGCACTCTGGACAGTGGAAAGGAATCAACTAAGTGACATAATTACCCTGGTGGCAAAATGCAGTCTGGAGATACAGGAGAAATTTGGGATTTACCATACCAGAGAAGGCCAGGACCTACAGCTAAAGATAGGTAGTAGCTCCTAAAAAAGTAATCCAATTGGGGGGAATATATGTGGGTGTGTGTGTATGTGTGTGTGGGGGGGGGTAATAATTCAAAAGATAAATGACAAACTGGAGAAAAATATTTGCAACTCACAATAAACAAAGGATGAATTGTTCTAATATAGAAAGAGTACCTTGAAATCAAGAAAAGAAAAATGTTCTAAGAGAAAAATGGACAAAGGTCATGAATAAATAGTATATAGACAAAGAAAAATACATTTCTTTTTTTTTTTTTTTTTTTTTTTTTTTTGAGACAGAGTCTCGCTTTCTTGCCTAGGCTAGAGTGAGTGCCATGGCGTCAGCCTAGCTCACAGCAACCTCAAACTCCTGGGCTCAAGTGATCCTCCTGCCTCAGCCTCCCAAGTAGCTGGGACTACAGGTACAAGCCACCATGCCCGGCTGATTTTTATATTATATATATTGGCCAATTAATTTCTTTCTATTTTTATGATAGAGACGGGGTCTCGCTCAGGTTGGTTTTGCACTCCTGACCTTGAGCAATCCGCCCGCCTCGGCCTCCCAGAGTGCTAGGATTACAGGCGTGAGCCACCACGCCCGGCAAAAAATACATTTCTTTTAACATATAAATATGGTCAGCTTCATTAATAATAAGAAAAATGCCAATTAAAATTACATTGAGATACCTTCTTACCTGTAGATAGGCAAAAATTCAGATACTGGACAACACACTCTTTGGTAAGTCTGTGAGAAATTAGCTTTTTCATACTGGTAGAGTGAAAAATGGTATAATTTCTATGGAGAGTGACCTGGTAATCTTTTTTTATTTATATTTATTTATATTATGGCAACAAAAACTAAGCTAAAAAAAGAATATATATTAAGTCTTGCTTCCACTAACATACCCTCTATAAGAATGCAATTGTTCTTTGACACAGCAATCTCACTTCTGAACATTTATCCTATAGGTTTACCTGCATATGTCTGATAGGTCTTATGTACAAGATATTGATTACAATATGGTTTGCAATAAAAGATTGACAACAATCCATCTATAGGAGACTGGTTAAATAAATATCTACTCAATGAAATTCTCTGTAACTTAAAAAAAATAAGATGTTCTGATATGGTAATATCTCCAAAATATAGTTAAGTGAAAAAAAAGTAAGATGCAAACCCTGTGGTTAGTATGGTACCTTCTGTGTAAGAAGGAAAAATAATTTTTCTCATTTTTTTATATTTGTATAAAGAAACACTGGAGAGAGATATAAGAAACTAATAATAATTGCCAATTGGGGGAAATAATATAGATAGGTATGTGGATGGAAGCAAGACTTTTTAATATGTATTCTATATATAGATATAGTTTAGTTTTCGAACTATGTATTTCTTGATATAATCAAAAATATAATAAAAATATAATAAAAATTTAAAAGCTACACACAGAGGCCAGAGTTTCACCAATGGCAAAGTCGGGATTGGAGGGGAATCTACTTACACAAAGCTCCTTCACAGGATCTAGAGCCCTCAAGAAGTTTCTGAATTAAGGGCAAAAGTTGGCTCCAGCTATTTTGTGTTTCGAGTAGTAGTGAAGAATCATATTCTGTTTTATACAACATCTGTTCTGACCTCCTTTTTAGTTCTTTTGGATTTTGTTTTATTGAGGATTATTGATACTGTACATAGACACATTTATATACTTTTGAAACTATCACCACAATAAAGAGAATTAGCATATATATCACTTACAAAAGTCTCGTTGTGCCCCTTTGCACACCCTTTATTCCACTATTTCTCCACCCTCATCCCCATGCAACCACTGATCTTTCTGTCACTAGGTTATATTTTGCATTTCTGAAGAGTGTTAAGTATAATCATACACTATGTACTTTTTGGCTACTTTCATTCAGTATAATTACTTTCAGTTTCATTTATTTTGTCACCTGTTTATTTGTCACCATTTATTTGTCACCTGTATCAATAATTCATTTCTTTTTCTTGCTAGGTGGTATTTTTTTTTTCCGAGACAGAGTCTTGCTCTGTTGATCAGGCTAAAGTGTCGTGGTGTCATCATAGCTCACAGCTACCTCAAACTCCTGGGTTCAAGCGATCCTCCTACCTCAGCCTCCCAAGTGCCAACTACAGGCATGCACCACCATGCCCAGCTAATTTTTTCTATTTTTAGTAGCCCAGCTAATTTCTCTTTTAGTAGAGACAGAGTCTCGCTCTTGCTGAAGCTGGTCTCTAACTCCTGATTGATCCTCCTGCCTCTCCTCCTGCCTCAGCCTCCCAGAGTGCTAGGATTACAGGCGTGAGCCACCATGCCCAGTCTGGGTGGTATTCTATTATATGTCTATACAGTACTACAATTTGTTTATCCACTTATTTGTTGATTGACACTCAAGCTATTGTCGGTTTGAGGCTATACAAATAAAGCTGTTATGAACATTTGTATACAATTCTTTGTATGGATATATGCTTTCATTTCTGTTTTACCTAGGGGTGGAAAGGCTGAGTTGTGTGATATAGTTTACTTCTTGAAAAACTGTCAACCTGTTTTCCAAAGTGGTTGTGCCATTTTACATTGCCAACAGCAATTGGACTTCTCCATGTTCTTGTTAACACCTGTTATTATCTGTTTAAAGAACTCCCTTTAATGTTTTTCATAGTATGGGATTGTTGGAGATGTGTAAATTCCAGTTTTGTATGTCTGAAAAAGTATTTCACACCTGTTTTTGCAAGGTATTTCACTGAATATAGAGTTCTAAGTTGATGGAGTTTTTTCCTCTCTTATATGAAAGCTGTTCCACTATCTTCTAGCTTGCAGTGTTTCCAACAAAAAATTTGCATTCATCTATGTCTTTGTTTCTTTGTATGTAATATTCCCCACACACACACACACTGGCTATTTTTAAGTTTCTCTGGTTTTAGATAATCTGATTATAATGTGGCTAGGTATAGTTTTCTTCATTTTTCTTATGCATGGGTTTATGAGCTTGGATCTGTAGACTTTTATTATAATAGTTTTATTTTCAAATTTGGAAAGTGTTCTACCATTATTTCTTCAAATAGTTTTTTTCTATCCCCCTTCTTCTCTAATTACCCACATATTAGGCTGTTTGCAATTGTCCCAAAATCATTGATGTTGTGCTCATTGTTTCTCTATCTTTTCTCTTTATGGTTCATTTTGGATAGTTTTTATTACTAAGTCTTTAAGTTTACAAATCTTTTCTTTTGCAAAGTCTAATTTGCCTTTGATCCTATATGGTGTATTTTTAATCTCAGACATTGTAGTTTCTATCCTTACAAGTTTGATTTGGGTCTTTTTTTTGTATCTTCCATGTCTCTACTTGTTTTCTCTAGGTTCAAGAATACATTTATAATAGCACATTTAATGTCTTTGTCTGTTAATTCTACCCTCTGTATTCTGTGTTGGGCTCGATTGATTTTTCTCCTCATTATGAGTCATATTTTTCTTCTTTGCATGCTCATAGTTTTTTATTGGTGTCAGACATTATGACTTTTACCTTATTTGGTGCTGGATTTTTTGTATTTCTATAAATACTCTAGAACTTAATTCTGAGATGTGATTAACTTGATCCTTTCAGAAATTGCTTTTAAACTTTATTGGATGGGGACCAGAGCAGTGTTTCATCTAGAGCTAGTTTTGTCTCATTTCTGAGGCAAACCTCTTCTGAGTACTATACGTGATATCATATGAATTACGTTTGACAATCTGACTAGTAGGAACAGGTACTATTCCCAGCCTTGTGTGATATCAAGGATTGTTCCTTCTAATCTTTTAGGTGGTTCTTTCCCCAGCCTCAAGTAGTTTCCTAACATTCATGCATGTATCATTACTCAGCCAAAGACTTGAGGGGGACTCAGTACAGATCTCTGGAGTTTTCACTCTGTACATTTCTGTGCTTTCTAGAACTTTTCACAGTGCCCTGTGAACTCTAACCACTTTGGCCTCCTCAAACTCCCAGCTATATCTTCCTCTCAAAGAGTCTTCTGCACTGCCTACAGGCGTCCCCTCCCTGAAATAGGTCCTGGACACTCTCTAGTTAGTAAGCTAGCCTATCAGAGTTCACCTTATTTGTGTCCCATTTCTCAGGGATTACTGTCCTTTATCACCTGATGTACAATATCTTGAAACCCATTGTTTCATATATTTTTTCCAGTTGCTTAGTTGTTGCAGGAATGCAGATAAATTCTCTATTCCATCTTGGCTGAAATTATAAGTCTTTGTTTTTTCCCCCCTTGTTCTTTTTTTTTTTTTTTTTTTTTGAGACAGAGTCTCGCTTTGTTGCCCAGGCTAGAGTGAGTGCTGTGGCGTCAGCCTAGCTCACAGCAACCTCAAACTCCTGGGCTCAAGCAATCCTACTGCCTCAGCCTCCCGAGTGGCTGGGACTACAGGCATGTGCCACCATGCCCGGCTAATTTTTTCTATATATATTAGTTGGCCAATTACTTTCTTTCTATTTATAGTAGAGACGGGGTCTCTCTCTTGCTCAGGCTGGTTTCAAACTCCTGACCTCGAGCAATCCACCCGCCTCAGCCTCCCAGAGTGCTAGGATTATAGGAGTGAGCCACCGCGCCCGGCCTTCCCCTTGTTCTTAGCTTGGATTGGGTGGCTTAGCTAAGGGTAGACTTCTCTTGGTTATAGCTACTTTTTCCCTGACAACCAAACCAATTTTTCAACTGTATTAGCAGTAAGAAATCCCTCAGGGCCAGGAAAATAGGAGCTAGAATAAAAGTGTATAGCAAGACCAATGTCTGGTGAAATACCAATTGTCTACTTACTCAGTCTTGGTTACATGTGAGAAGGGATGGTGTGGTCACTATAGTAGCAGTTTCTGAGTACAACCATCTGGTCTTCTCCCTGAGTTCTCTACTATCAGGACCTAGCTGCCCATTAGAAGAGCAATTTAGAGACAAGACAGTTGGAAGCCAACCATCTCTTGTTTCTTCCTCCATGCAACCCAGGTTTGTTTGAATGTCTGTCTAAGTGTATTTAAGGGAAGGAAATCTGTGCCAAGGTATTACTTTTAAAGTAATACTTAGACTTCTGCACCTGAGGGCAATGACAATATTGGCATGATGTATAAGTGTGTGTGGGGATTCCAGATGCTGTCCTTTGCATAGCTTTGCAATTGAGTTTGGCTGTTCTCCACTTGTCTCCCTTTTTCTGGATAGGTCTGTCTGCAGGTCGGATTTCGCAGGTTATTATTGGAGATGAGCAGAGCCAATACCTCTTGGTGATTGGGAGGGATGTAGACGATGTCCAGCTAGCTCAGCGTTTTGCTCAAGCAAATGAGATTGTCCTGTCCTGGAACTGCTGGAAGCTCTGTGAGCAGTCCATGTTTGAAGTGGAAATCATAAGGGAGGATGAAGCTGTAAAGGTAGGAAGCTGACCTCATCCATTGCACATCCTAAAAGGTCTTCCTGCTATACAGGAAAAGGTGCTAATAGGCAGTGCTCCAGTGGTGTTCACATAGTGCCTGACCAAACCAACGACCATTGGAGCTCAGTTTTGGAGGGAGGCTGGGGATATTCTCCCAGGAAGATAGATGAAGCAGAACAGCAAGGCTGGGAAGAAAAAGGGTAAACAGGGGAGAGAGAGCCCTCAGCCCCTCTGGTAAGGGACCAAAGATAATCAAGTTGGTGTGTGGGCACAGAATTGAGCAGTTTCCTTTCTGTAGCTAAGAGATATGCGGATCATTGACCCGTTTGATTTTGATGAGCATTTTGACAAGTGCCTTGATTATCTGCCATATTACCGTGCAAGTGCTGGTAAGTTACTTTGTCCTTTCTACCTGAGCCCCAAATTTTAAAGATTAATTTTCCACATGGCTGGAGACATTTTGTTTGTTTTTCTTTTTTCAGAGACTCTAAGAACTGCATTGGAATTGGATCCAGACTCTGCACTTAAGCAAACACTGCGGAAGTATATAATGAAAAACCTTTTAAAGAAGGTTATTTCCTAGTTCTTGAGTTATTGTGTAGACTGTGTATGTGTTTGTGCAAACAGGTGTTCATCTATATGTGACAACCTTTTTGTATCAATCCAGTTCATCTCATGCTCTTCATTGTAATAAGAGCAAATTTCTCCCTCTGCATCAATGTAATTACTATGATAAATGTGTCTTAAACATTTACTTAGATTTCTCAGTCCTAGAAAGTAGAAGCCATATTTGTTTTTCAGTTTGTCCTTTAAGAACTTAGTATACTATAAGCAAGGTATAGAGTATATCCTTGGTAAATGTGTTGATTGGTTGTTTATATATGAATATATATAAATTCCTTAGTAAGAGATATAATGACTAATGGAGTTGAACATGTCAAACTAACTCTTAGAAAATATAAAAGTCTAACAAATGTCATCAGTGAATTTGGTTTAAAGTCAAACAGTTTTAATTCCAAGCTCACTCTATGCCACTTCAACCTGAATTTTCTTCTCATTTTTTGCGTGACACCTGTAAGTTATATTCTCACACTCACCATGAAATACAGAATTAAAATGCCTAAACATGATACTGAGAGTTGAAGATACAGGCAAGGTAACTCACTGTGTATTTGTAGATTGATGAAGGCCAACCTGTGGAGTATGTATCCGAATTCCGTACAGTTACTATGGTTTTGGTCAGCCTAGAGTTCCACAAGATAGCACGGATATTGCATTTGTGTCATCTTATCCAGGAGGCTGCCTTATACATCTCTACAGTCATTGAGAAAGGGGGTGGCCAGCTGAGCCAGATCTCTATGTTTGAGAAAGTAAGTATGAGGGAACTTGATCCATCAGCATTAAAGGTGAGTGAGGAATAATAGTCTTGTATGGACAGTTTATTTCCCCACATAACACAAATGTTAAGTCAGGTATCCTGCTACTTATTGTGTAAAAAGCTCTATTACATTAAAACTTCAATTAATGTTAGTTAAGGAATGGAGTGTTCTGGTTTTAATTTTCAGGGTTACTATGGGTTACCTTCCATGTCATTTGTTATTCAGTTCTTGTTGAAGAATGCTTGTGAAGGCATAAAAAATGTTGTTTTGGTTCTGTTAGTAAAGTACACACATAAAATACATAATCAGATCTTTCCAAGATAATTGAGGAACTTGAAAAAGAGCAGGATCTTAATACTTGACATTATAGATGAATAAAATGTGGGCAGATAGACTTAGCTCAAGGTATATACTAGAAATTAAATTTTTTAAAAGTTTGTGATATCAACTTCTTTTGTGTTTTAAATTTCAGTTCTTTCAATAATTAGTTAAAATCAGGATTTTAAACAAATTTCCACATTCATGTGGCCCAGAGTGTCCATTTTATGGATCTTGCAGAATCCTATATTCCTAATAGAAGACTAATCAGGTTAGGGTCTGGCTTCATTCAGGGGCGTTGGTTTAGTTTAGGCAAGCCATATGCCTCCCCCAGGTAAACTTCTCTTATCTTTGTTTACCATCTATCTCAGGGCTGCATGTTCCTCTGTGTTTTTGGCCTTCCTGGGGATAATATGAAGCCAGATGAGTGTGCACACGTGCTGGAGAGCTCCTTCAGCATCTTCCGCTTCTGCAGGGAGAATCTTGCTGAGACCAAGTGAGGAGGAAGGTGGGGCAGAGAGGAGCTTTTCAGGCCCCAGGGGGCTCCTCAGGCAGGGTACTGTGTTTCCCCAAAAATAAGACCTACCCATAAAATAAGCTCTAGCAGGATTTCTAAGCATTTGCTATCTGCACAACCCCTGCATTTTGTCACGGAGCGCTAAAGAAGATGAGCAGCCCTTCTCATCTGCCCCATGAGAACTCTATTGCTTGACATGAGAGATTGGGGCCAATGGTTCTAAAGGAAATAGAGTCACAAGAAATTCAGGATGGAATTCAGGATTTAGAGAGTTATGATGATGTTCCAAAAGAAGACAACTTAATTATATTTGAATAAATGTAGATTGTTGTACTGTACTTAAAAAAAATAACACATCCCCTAAAAATAAGCCTTAAGGTGTCTTTTTTTTTTTTTTTTTATACTTGTCTTGCAACTAGGTGTGGCTATTAAGGTGTCTTCTTGAGGAAAAATAAATATAAGACCGTGTCTTATTTTTGGGCAAACACAGTAGCAGGGGTTCAGGCTATCCTCCCTCAGGGGGAGGGAACAAGCTAAGGAAAGTCAGCAAACAAGATCTATTAAGAAATCACCAGATATGAAAATCTGTACTGGGTACCCAGGGAAAATAAAGATAAGTTTCCATCTAATGGGGCAGGAGAAGGGGCGGAACAGAACACATGTAGCAAGATTCAAGAACACTGCAAAGGAAAAAACAAATGTATAAATTAATGTAATGCAAATAACATGCCTGTATGTGGAGAGGATGCAGCATAAAGGCTGCCCGTCCCAAGGGAGGATGAGAGAAGTTGTGGGGCAGTCACTAGATAGAAGGCACCACAGCTGGTGAACACTGTCCTTCTTGGCTTGCACTCTTGGTCTTTCCCAGATCCTATTGCTTTTTCTGGACCTTTCACTTAACTGATCTCCCTCCTCCGTATCTACCAAATCCCCACCACCTTCCACAAAAAACTAGCCCTAATGAAGGTATAGAAAAGTTCGTTTTTTCACTGGTTGCATTATGACAAAGTTGGTTGGAATTTTCCAAATACCTTTTTAAATAGAAAGCTGTGGGGAAAGTATTCATATATACATGATACATGAATGAATTTGAAAAATTGTTACTTATAGTGTTAAAGTCAAAGATTGATTTGCTTGCCATGATTTATTCAAGATGGATAAAAATTATACAGCACATGTACATAGTGCTTTAACATTTATAGAATGCTTTAGTATATGCTACCAGTATGAAAATTTTTATCCCTCTTTTATTTTTTTATTTTATTTTATTTTATTTTTTTTGAGACAGAGTCTCACTTTGTTGCCCCGGGCTAGAGTGACATGATATCAGCCTAGCTCACAGCAACCTCAAACTCCTGGGCTCAAGCAGTCCTTCTGCCTCAGCCTCCCAAGTAGCTGGGACTGCAGGCATGCGCCACCATGCCTGGCTAATTTTTTCTATAGATTTTTAGTTGGCCAATTAATTTCTTTCTATTTTTAATAGAGATGGGGTCTCACTTTTGCTCTGGCTGGTCTCCAACTACTGACCTTGAGCGATCTGCCCACCTCAGCCTCCCAGAGTGCTAGGATTACAGGCATGAGCCACTGCACCCGGCCATATCCCTCTTTTATATACAATGAAATTAAGGCCATAAAAGAGAAGTTGCTAGCATTTACAGAACTGCTAATGAAACCCAGATATTCAGTCTTCAAATCCTATGTTGTTTCATTATCCCATACTGCATCTTATATTAATAAAATGCAAATAAATGCTCCCTCAAAAGGATCAAATATATTATTAATATAATATAATTGTAGGGACACACTCATAGAATATTAGTACTGGAAAGGAATTTAGTGATTATCTGATCCGGCTTATTTAACAGATAAGAAACATGCTACAGTTCCTTAATAAATACTCAGATTCTTTTTTTTTTTTTTTTTTTTAGACAGAGTCTCTTTTTTTTTTTTTTTTTGAGACAGAGTCTCACTCTGTTGCCTGAGCTAGACTGCCCTTGCGTCAGCCTAGCTCATAGTAACCTCAAACTCCTGGGCTCAGGCAATCCTTCTGCCTCAGCCTCCCAAGTAGCAGGGACCACAGGCATCTACCACCATACCCAGCTAATTTTTTCTATATATATAGATATTAATTGGCCAATTAATTTATTTCTATTTTTAGTAGAGATGGGGTCTTGCTCTTGCTCTGGCTGGTCTCCAACTCCTGATCTTGAGTGATCCACCCGCCTCGGCCTCCCAGAGTGCTAGGATTACAGGCATGAGCCACCGCACCTGGGCAATACTCTGATTTTTAGCCTAGGGCAAATATGTATTGACATTTCTTTCAGATTTAGTGGGATCTGCAGATACTCCTACAACCTCCCTCCAGTATGAATATACTGGGCCATTCCTTCCAGTACTGCTCTGTTCTTTCTTGAGTTTTGCACTGACCTGGGCCTGATAGGGAAAAGCCCCCACCCGGGAGCCCTGACGCAAAATCCACTGCTGAGTGGAGACATGTGAAGCTTACGGCTGATCCTACTAATACCACGGTTAATTGGATAATTTTGCATGCTCATAGTTGATTCGTTGTGTGTGACCCAAGAAATGTATAAGACTGGAGAGAAATAAGGAAGCAGTGCTCAGAATTTGATGGTATGCCCCTCTGAGCCCGCCTGCGAAATAAAAGCTGATTCTCTGACCCTCTGGGTGCCGCTCCTTTCTTTCCCTGGTCAATTGCTGTATCACTTGCCAGAACAGGCCCTCAAGGGTCCTGTCCTTGAGCCTTATTTTTGAATAAGGTAGTCATTTCTTTGGACTTTTGTGTTTTCTGAACCACTGGAAATTGTTCATTTGTAGATTTAACTTGAAATTAATTATGTCTCAGTGCACCTTCTTTCTCCATCCACATATTTTGTTACCCTATCACATGAAATCTTCATGACAGTCAAGTAAATCTGCATATTCTCTATTATTTAAGGATTGCTCATTGCTACCTTTGGGCCCTGGCCTTACCCAGATCAGTGTATGCTTGCTTTTTGAATAATTCATATCTCCAGTACTTTTCCATCCCTAGCCTAGGTAGGGCCACTTCTCACATCTCCTCTTTCTTCTCCAAGCACCGACTGTGCTCTAGCCAACTTGAAGGACTTAGTTTTGCATGACCACACTAGACTTTTCAAAGTCCATACCTTTTCTCACTAGAGAGGGGGCCATTTAGCAGTGTCTTCAACTTTAAAGGTCCAACCAAATATCCTCGTCTTTATGAATACTCTTTCTACTCTCTCATATGAGTTAGTGCATCTGTTCTGTTTGCTCTGTTTAACGTGCTATACTAATCCACAGTATGGAGTATTTGTCTTACTGACATACATGTGTCTCTTCACCTCCCTCAGTACCTACCACTCTCCTCCCCAGACTGAACTTCTCCAAGGAAGGATATTTTAAACATCCAGCCAAATAATTGGCACTGTGTATACTTCTCAATGCCTATTGAATGAATGAATGTATGCATGTATGAATGAATGAAAAATATTACTCATTCAAAAATGTATTCCAAGTATTAATTTGCTTTAGGAAGCCTTCCATCTGCAGTCCTAACATTACAATTATTCCTTTACTCTGACTTTCTAGCAGTATTTAATCCATTAACCCTGTATTGACATCTGTTGATCTATTTTTCATTTTGGGATTTTAACTGAGGCAGCAAGGTATAGTAGAAATAACATTGGTCTAGGAGTCAGGAGGCTGGGATTCTCATTCTGACTCTGCTGTTTATTTTTGCTATATAACTCCGGGAAAGTTAATGAATCCCTTCAGGTTTTTTTTCCCTTTTTAAAAATTTTAATAGGTTTAGGTGGTACAAGTTCTCTTCAATTTTTTCTTTCTTAAAATGGTTTTAACTTACCTACCATACAGGTTTTGTTAATTACTTCTCAAAGGATCAGCTGAGGTAATCTATTTGAAAGTAATCTAAAAAACATATATAAATCATCTGACATTTATAAGATTTTTTAAAATCATTTTATCTCCAACTAATAATAACCCCTAAATAAACTGAAGTAGGGGGCTATTCTTTTCCTTTTGGTCATCTCCCTGGCCTTTTTCATTCTGCACTCTAACACTAGACTTCTGGATCTAGGGAGTGGCAGATTAGTGTGTGACTCGGCATCTTCTGACTGTGTATTTACCCACTGTTGCCTTTCTCACCCCCAGGCTTGTTTCCATCAGTATCACCAATGGACCAGTATTCTGTGGTGTGGTTGGAGCAGTAGCAAGACACGAATATACAGGTAGAATAGCTCTGTCACTGTTAGCTTTGTGACTTAGGGGATGAAAGTGGAAGACATGATCCAAAATTCTCCACCCTTTTCTTTACTGTCTTTCTGGCACAGTTATTGGCCCAAAAGTGAGTCTCGCGGCCAGAATGATAACTGCTTATCCAGGTTTGGTGTCCTGTGATGAGGTAACATATCTAAGATCCATGCTACCTGCATACAACTTCAAGAAACTCCCGGAGAAAATGATGAAAAACATCTCCAACCCAGGGAAGATTTATGAATATTTTGGCCATAGAAGATGTATGTGAGTATCATTATGTGATAGTTCATTCCCACCTCTTACAGAATCAGGGCACAAGGAATAGTAAGTTTTTGATTGTATGAAATTAGAAATGCTGCTAGTACTGGCCTGCTGGAATATGGCATACAAGGGGAGAGGGTTTGGTGTGTGGGAGCTTTAGCTTTTACATTTAGCTCTTAGCTAGTTCCTCAGTGACCTTCTTACTCTCCAACAGAAAGAGAATAGCAATATGTCTCTAACCCAGATGTGTTTTGTTCTTTTTTTTCTTTGTGTACTTCACTATTTATTTACTTCCCTGATCCTGGAACAATTAATAATACTCCTTTGCTCCTTCTCTAACAAGTTTTAGTTTTTAAAAAACCCTTTTGTACAAAACACCGTACCTCTTTAGTTATTTGAAAGTACTTGCTTATGAAGATAGCTGTTCCTGAAACTATATTTAATAGCCACATTTCTCTTTGTTGTTTTCCCCAGAATGTTTGGGAAGAGACATTTGGCCAGAGAGAGAAACAAAAATCACCCTTTGTTAGGTAAGTTTTCTTTTGTAACTTAAATCATATTTGTTTCAGCTGTAGATGGCTAAATGTGATTTAAAAAACAAAACAATGCAAGACTAAGTGCTTTTAAGTTTGTATTAAATAGAAAGCAACCTTCTCAGTGAATTTATATTCATTTTGAAGAGGACCTACTATTTCTTTTCCATGTTGAATATTCAAATTTCAGGTGGAGTGCTATTAGTTTGCCTGAGAAGTACCAACATTTAATAAGCATCTTCATAAGTCAGAGTTCAGTTACTGAGGTCTGACCAGCTTATTGTGGATTGTCTTTAAAGAGAAATTTTCATCCTTAGAACAGTGAAGATAACACTAAGATTATTGCAACCCACACTATACATTCCCTTTATATTTTAATCTATATTTATTAATCTATTGTCTTTACATAGTAGTGACAGACTTTGAAGACTAAATTGTTATTATGGAAAATTTTACAAAAAATTAACAAGATATATTAGACCCCAAGTCCATGTGATACCTAATTGTTCTGAATGTTATTAAACCCTCAAGACCAGCATACGTTTTGTATAGTTCAGAGTTGATTTTTTGGAATGAGATGTGAGTCCCAATCAGACTGTGATTCTGCCAGGGATTCTGGGGGGGGGGGGGGAAGCCATTTTGTGAGTTAGCTCTGCAAATTAATTCAAATCTATAGTGTCTACTAAAAAGCACAGGAATGTTAGGTGCTCCCTGTCTCTCTACAGACCGGGAGAAAGAATTGGAAGCATTCCGAATGGCACAGCAAGGGTGTTTGTACCAGAAGAAGGGACAAGCAGTTTTGTATGGAGGTGAAAAGGGCTATGGAAAAAGCCAGCTATTGGCTGAAATAAACTTCTTGGCCCAGAAAGAGGGGCATAGGTAAAGACTCCTGCTTTCTGACTTAGTCAGAGCCTACTTCTCTTGGGGCTTCTTTCCCTTGTTGGTGAGACTCTTGTGTCACTAGATTCAGCACCCTTGGACTGGTGGACTGTGTGTGGTACAGGGGACTCCCAGTGATCATAGTAATGTTCACCAGGGTGTTGCCATTGAAACTGAAAGAAGCAGATTCCAAGCGGTGCTTCTATGCCATCCAGACCCTCATGGCTATCTTCTTTGAGATTGATACATGCCCAGCCTATTACCGGCAAGAGTGCCTACAAAGACAGCTTCGGCAGATGATGAAGGAACCACTTCACTGCCTTTTCAATGACCTCTTCTTTGTGAAGGTAATGAAGACAGTGGCTTTCCGAATTGGGTTACTGTTATTTTTTGTGGGTAGTCAGACCCAAGATTGTTTTCTAATCAAATACCTTAGGGTCATATACATATATATAGGACACACACACACGCACTAAGAACACATAGTAATAGTAGGACTGAGATTTAAAATCACTTTGACACCAAAAGTCAGGATTTTTCCTTTTTGAGGAGAATGGATTCTAGGATTGAATCTGACACTTGGTAGTTGTATGTTCTGGAGCAAATCACTTAGCCTCTCTGAGCCATAGTTTTTTTCATCTGTAAAATGATGTTATAGTACTTTATATGGTTTTTGCATTAATTTTAAAGGAGATAATATATGAAGTATTACATTGTAAATTTTAAAGTGCTAAATATATTAAGGTAATTTTGACTCACATCCTCAGGAGTTATATTCATATATTCTTGAGTCAGTTGCAATTTTTTACTTTTTAACTCTACTTTCCTGTTCCCTAGCCACAGAATTTATCACTTGAACCAGAACCTGAATCTCAAAATTTTCCAGTGGTCTAGGGTTTGTGGATTACCCAATAGCAAGCAGGCCAAAAGCTCCCTGGTCCACAATTCCATTTATTTATCCTCCATCTCTTCTCCTAATGTACCCAGCCTACAGAGTATTCTATTCAATAGAAAATAAAGGACACTAAAATCTGTCCAATCCCTCAGCGTAGCCCTCTCTTAAGACAGGAGACTCCAACCCTCCCAACACAGTTTAGCAATAATCTCACTTCGGCTCACAGGTTCTTGGTAGCTCATGTGCCTCAGTCTAGCACAGGAAACAATGTTAGGTGATGTCCATTGCATCTTTTTCTGACAAATCTCATGTGCGGATTCTTCCTGGTATACTTAGAATAACTGGAGTACTGGAGCTGCCCAAGGTGACATTGCTAAATCAAACCTGTTGTTTATTTCTTAGCCATAACCCTTTAAGGATTTCCAAAGTCTGGTATGGAAAAGTGATAGATATCTGTCTCCAACCCTTCATGAACTTTCAATCTCAGCCTCTGAACTATACATTATTGTTGGATTGGCCCTTGTAAGTCTGTGTGCAGACTTGCAGAAACCCATTCTCAGTCAAAATAGAATCATTTTCTGTTCCCTTTGAAGAACCTGCATATTTTTATTAGTTTGACATTTCGAATGCTAATATATAATAATTTTTCTGGTCAGTTTCCCTTGTCCTTAGAAGTTTCACGCATGGATGACCTGGTCAGACAAAAGAAGGTTAAAGCGTTTTTTATTCAAGTGCTTCAGGAGGTGGGTAGTTTTACTACATACCATTATCTCTTAATATGTGGAGATAGTTTATGCTCATTTTAATCTATCCACATCACACCTTGATGTAGGCATTTTTTGGCCTGCCTATTTGTTGATGTATTCATTATTTATTGTCTATCTTTAACCTTGGATTCATCCTACAGCACAGCATACAAGAAAAGGTCTTGGCTTTTCCCTGATCCTGTTTCTTAATGAAATTTTAGTAACTTAATTTAAAACAGTGTTTTCTAAATGCAGGTGGATTGCTATTTTATCTACTGTTGATGAAAAATACAGATACTCAGGCTCTACCCCAGGATCACAGAATCAAAAATCTGTATAAGCAGAAACTCACGTAGCCATTCGGGAAAGCAATCTAAAAGTAACTAGTCAAATTTTAATAACATGCATCTTCTAGACCCAGCAAGCCCACTCCTGGGTATATATATCCCAAAGAGTATGTTCATTTTAGTGTGTGTTTGTGGAGGCCAGGGAGGTGTTGGCAGGATGCATGGATGAACAAGATTGAATAAAATGCAGAAATTAGGAGTAAGGGAATAGATGAAACTATAGCAATATGGAGTAATCTCAAAACAGTCCTGAATAAAACAAAAGAGAAAAATAATGAGATCTATAATAAATAGCATTTACATAAAAGCAATTTACTTGAAAAAACAATAATGCACATTTTATAAGAACATGATACAAACAAAAAGCTGCACAATAAGCACATTAGAATGGTCACTGGAGTCAGTGGGGAATGGAATGGGAGTGGGAAATCTGTATAAAAGTGAATACATTTTTAAAGTCTACTTGAGTGGCACCTGATAGTTGGTAGTGTTGGCAAGCACTCCCAGGTGATTCTGATGTGCAGCCTAGTTTGGAAATTGCTGTTTTAGAGTATTATGAATTCCCACACAGGATGAAGCCTTTGCCAAAATGAAATATTTGAAAGCTTTAAGTTCAAAATATTTGGAAAATATTTTGGTGCTTATTTCATTTTTCAGTTAGAGTATTTTTCTTATCCACAGAAACTCGGTACATTGCTTTAAGAATTAAATATATAGGCAGTATTTTTTTATTTGTAAAGTAAAATATCACCTGGACTGAGAATACAATTACTCTGAAAACTCCAGCCTATGTTGACATTTTATTTAAATTATTGATGGCAATTTGTGGTAGATTTGAAAACTAGGTGACTCCATTTCTAATCAGAGATTGTTGTTGTTTTCTTTGCTGTTATTTACAGGCAGTGAGGGAAACACCACTGATTTTCCTCATTGATGAGGCCCAGTATATGGATGCAGCTTCCTGGGAGTTTTTAGGAACGTTGCTCTCCAGTGTGCCCATCATCATGGTGATGACGTTGACCTCTACCTTCACACTGTGTGGCTGGGCCCAGCACTTCCTGCAGAGCCCGCAGGCTGTTTTTGTGTCCATTTCGAAGTTGGCAACAACCTCATTGTTGAGAATGGCATGTTGGGAACTAGGGGTGGTGAGCATCCCCCCAGAGCTGCAGACGTGAGTGGTAGGACCAGCTGGGCATTTCATTAAGGGAGGAGCCAGTACCATAATAAAAGTCATAAGGCTCAGGTCTTACTTTCTGGAGTTGGGGGAGAGAATGGCATTAGAAAGTGATGAGGCCCAAGACTAGATTTAAAGGAGACGGTCTACTTGTAAACTAGTAAGGGGCTACCAACCTGGGCTATCCACCAAGGTTATCACAAGACAGTTCGGATTTGGATGGCTTGCTTAATGTGTCAATTTTATGTGATCAGGCCGGTTTCTGACTTTAGTGAGGGGATGTTGGTTCCTTTTAACATCAGTAGAAGTAAAATAGTTGAGAAAGAAAAATTACTGCCAAAATGCATTTCAAAGCCAATCAGAAATAAATTTTTTACATTTCTATGCTGCTGCTTCCCTCTGTTAGTATATCATCAAGAGCTAACTTTAATAAGAGAAGGTTCCTCAGCATGAAGTACCCTTATGCTTGGCTCCCCTCAAGTGGGCATCATTTTTTTTTTTTTTTTTTTTTTATTGAGACAGAGTCTCACTCTGTTGCCTGGGCTAGAGTGCCATAGCATCAGCCTAGCTCACAGCAACCTCTAACTCCTGGGCTCAAGCAATCCTTCTGCTTCAGCCTCCCAAGTAGCTGGGACTACAGGCATGCACCACCATGCCCAGTTAATTTTTTTCTATATATGTTTTTAGTTGACCAATTAATTTCTTTCTATTTTTAGTAGAGATGGGGTCTCGCTCTTGCTCAGGCTGGTTTTGAACTCCTGACTTTCAGTGATCCTCCTGCCTCAGCCTCCCAAAGAGCTAGGATTACAGGCATGAGCCACCGTGCTGGCCCTCAGGTGGACATCTTTAATCATCCTCTACTTATCTCCCTGCAGCTACCTTCTCCACAGGTGCTTTGGAAACCCTCTCTATTGTAAGGTCCTGTGCCAGGACCTTCTGTCTCAGGACATATTGCTCTTTCATGACCTAAAAGAGGAGGAGAAGGAGAACAGCGAGTGGGAGACCCTCTCAGGTATGCTTAGCTTTGTAGGGTTCTGCCCTGGTTCAGCTGCTGAAGTTCATTCTCCAACATGGCATCCATCATCTGGCCTTTATGCAACACATACCTATTCCCGGCTGACGTTGTGGGGCCAGTTAGGCTTCCCCAGCTGAACACACTACACCATTTTTTTTAAGAGACAGGTTCTCACTCTGTTGCCCAGGGTGGAGCACAGTGGTGTGATTATAGTTCTTTGCAATGTCGAACTCCTGGGCTCAAGCAATCCTCCTGCCTTTCAAGTAGCTGGGACTACAGGCATGTGCTACCATGCCTGACTATGCACTATACAAACATTATGCAACTAGGGTAAAAACACTAAATACCTGCCTCAGATAACTTAATTCAGTTAATCAGTCTACAACAGCCTACAACAGTTCCTTTTTAAGCATCCCAGGAGGAAGGAATAGGAAAATAGCATTTATAAGGAAACACTAAATACCTGCCTCAGATAACTTAATTCAGTTAATCAGTCTACAATAGTCTATAACAGTTCCTTTTTAAGCATCCCAGGAGGAAGGAATAGGAAAATAGCATTTATAAGCATGAGAGTCGAGAATAGAAAATTAAACATTATTGATGAGAAGGATGACTTGAGGATTTGGATAAGGGATGGGAGAAGGGAGGAGTATGGGAGAAGAGTAAGGGATAGAGGTATGTAAGAATACAGAAAGGCATCCTGGAGCTATGACGGAAGGAGACAAGGGCTGTTATAAGGTGAACAGGAATAGTATATGATACAGAGAATGTTGTTAGTTTGTAAAAGAAAATTAGAGAACAGGTAGGATGGGTGAGGTAAAACACTTTAAACCATAGTACACTTTAAACCATAGTACACTCCATTCATCCTCATCCTTTCACATTTGGACGAAATTCTTGGGATTTATTTGCCTTTAAAACTAGCATGCACTGAGCATGTTGTTTTCCTCAAAGTCTTCTTTCTCTACAGCAAATGTCATGAAATCCACAATCTATGGTACTTCTCCTGCCTGCTCTGAAGAAGACCAGGAACTTTATGTCTGCACAGTCAAGGATGATGTGAACTTGGATACATTGCTTCTCCCACCGTCTTTAAAAGGCAAGTCCCCTGAAGACCACAAGTGAACTGATTACAGCTGTCATTGTGATTGGCAATTTGGTGGGTGATTGAGTAGGTTCCTCATTATCCTCTGGCTTCGTTTTCTCCTAAAAAGGATTGAATGAAATAATTCATGGCACATCATAAATATTATGTGACTTCTAGCTATTATAAGCTCTTCACTCCGGAAGTTTGAGGTCCAGCTAGACAGTTTACACTCATACAACTGTGACTGACATCCTTGGCATTGGCTTTACTTATACTTAGAAGGAAACACAGCATGCTAGCAGGACAGCAACAGGTGGTTTTCTACAGCAGTTTACATGGCAGTCCAGGGGCAATTGTCTGGAGCCTCAAGTAGTTGCTCAGCTGTGGGGAATGAGACCATGATGCATGGGTGTTTAGAAGCCCCATGTCCCAACTAGAAACTTTTATAACAGCCCAGTAGGTGTAGCTTTCAGGTCCTACAAGGGGCATGACCTATTATTATAAGAATTACTAAAGCCAAGGAAGCCCAAAGCTGTGCCTGACCACCAGTTCATTCAGTTTTCCCAATCCAAATTCAGTTTGCCAATCAGAGGTCATTCTTAGTGTAAGCAACATTACCTGGTAACACAGTTGAAATTCTAATGCTATCCTAGGAAACAGCTAGAAAATTGACCCAAGGTCAACATTATCAGGTAAGGAAAATGGCCTTGTTAACTCACAAGCTAAAATAAATAGCTTAGCAAAGCTTCGGTCTAAATGAAAAACCAAAGCTAGATTGTAAAAGACCATATAAGTTATAAAAAGTATTTAAGGAAGGGACTGACATAATTATATTTGTACTTTAGATATATTATTCTATTAGTTAACATACTATTGGGATAAGAATGGGAAAAAATTGGAGATGTGCAAAACAGGGTATTATAGTGATCCAGGTGAAAATGACTACTTATACTAAAATTGTTTAGGAGGAAACATATACAAGAGACATTTAGAAAGAGGATGACCATTAGGTTGTGAGGGAAAGGAAAACGTTTAGAATTATTCTAAGGTTTTTGGCTTGGTGACTTACTGGTTTAATACTGACTACTTTAATGTTTACATCAGAATGTGAAAAGATTTACTCAAATGCTTGAGGTAAATTAAGATATTTATAAATATCAGAGATCTGGGACCAGGAAGCCTGGCCTACAAGTTTAGTTGAAAATAAGAAGAAAAGGTTCTGGGTACTAATAGGTCATGAAAATGGGAAGGGTTAGTGTAGTTGAGTGATTCAGAGCACAGTTTTGGGTCTACTGACAAAACCTGTTGGTGACTGGGGAGAACAGTTTCAGTAGTGTAGTAAAAACCTTATTGTTGTTGGTAAAACAATGAGTGGGAGATCAGAACGTGGAGACAAGGCTCTTTCAAGAGGTTTGGCTGAGTGGAGAAAGGAGGATTAATGTAGGGCAGTGGGTAGGGGCAGATGAAAAGTGCACCTCTTTTTTTTTTTAACCCTTCGCACTCGCTTGCTTTTTTCTCATCATCCACTTGACATTATCCACATTTGACATCCGAGTGCAAAGGGTTAAAGATGGACAGTTTATCACCATGCTGTATCCTCGGTTTGTAGAAACCTTGTTTATTGCTTATTTATTTATTTATAGAAATAGCAGTAAACCAACTGGATCAACTGGGCCCAGAGAAACAGTTGCTGATCAAGTGTGCTGCAGTCATTGGTCATTCCTTCCATATAGATTTGCTGCAGCACCTTCTGCCTGGCTGGGAAAAAAATAAACTATTCCAGGTGTTGAGGTCTCTTATGGATATACATGTGCTCCACTGGTTCAACAAGAGCCAAAGACCTCCTGCTGAGCCCATATTAGCACCCTCCTCTGTAGACATCATCAATCAAACCAAAGAGAAGAAAAAAGGTGAGGTCAGGTGAGGAAGGGACTGTTCTGTCAGGTCTGAACAGAAAGCCCCAGGATATCTGTGTTCAGAAAGCCTATCAATATCATATATTAAATAAATAAATAAATAAAATATCGTATATCAAGGCTATCTCTCTCTCTCTCTCTCTCTCTCTCTCTCTCTCAAGAGACAAGATCTTACTATGTGGAAAATCTTACTAGCTGGACAAACTTGTGGGCACAAACAATCCTCCTGTCTCAGCCTCCTAATTATAGGTGTGCACTACCACACTCACCTTGAGGGCCTCTCTCTCAAAGCTTATGGCTAAGAAGCAGAAAGAAAAAGATCATTTAAACCATGAAGGAGCCATGGTTATAGTGGAAGCAATATCCTGTATTTTTCAGAAATGTCCTAATTTCAACAATTCCAGCTTCTTGTTAACCCATGTGTTAGTATTTATGTTTTGATTTTTGATTCAGAAGATATTGCCATAATGTTTTATTGGCTTCTAGGTGCAAATAATGAGAAAAAAGGGTAAACCATTCTTAATCTTAGAAACTTACAAGGAAGATAAACACATGTGGTATTGGAACAGACATGAACAAAGCAAGATATAAATAGCTTGAAATCTCAAATTCCACATGAAAGAATAAAATTGTAGTATGTACTACCCAGAATACATATAATTCACAAATAATTTCCCTTTAACTTAGAAATATGTTTGAGGCCTATCTCTGTATAGAGCATTTCTGATGATTGGACATTTATAATAATTAGAAGTAAAATCTCAATTTAGGAGGACCAGTTAAGAAATCTTGGCAGTATACTTCTATACCACTGATCATTTCTTCCTTGTATTTTATACTTGGTGTGGTCAACATCACTCTCAGAATGGTGCAAAGTTCTTTATACAAAGGAGGGAGTCATACCAACCAAGAGTTATAAATAAAATTTTCTTATAAACTCTTAGCCATATACTTGGGAGTTTGCCATAATGTGGCATAAAAGAACTTTAAGGGAGACTCTCACTTAGATTTTCTTAAATTTCAGATGCTGGCTCAGCCTCTCTGCTCAGGCTACAAGAGGAACTATCTGTACCTCAAACCAAGGTGTTGGAATTTGGAGTGCCTCTATTAAGGGAAGCCGCTTGGGAGCTGTGGCCCAAAGAACAGCAGATAGCTCTGCACCTGGAGTGTGCCTGCTTTCTCCAAGATTTGGCCTGCCGCTGTGGGAGCTGTCATGGAGGGGATTTTGTTCCCTTCCATCGCTTCGCAATTTGTTCTACTAAGAGTTCCAATGGGACCTCCCGATTCTGCACTTACAAAGACACTGGCTCGGTGCTAACACAAGTGATCACAGACAAATTGCAGCTGCCTTCTCCCCAAGGTAAACCCAAGAGGCAGAAAGAGGATGTGCAGGCAGCACTTCTATTTCTTCATATACTTAGAGCTCATCATCAAAAAGTTGGAATAGATGAAGGGAAAAAAGTAGGTAGAAAGAACTGCTTATCCCCAAAGTACCAGAGATAAGAAAAATGCAATCACAGAGTTAAAAGGAACCCTAGAGATCATATTTGTTTTGGTTGGCAATCTTGGGCAAGTTACTTAACCTCAAGTAATTGGGGAAAATAACAATGCCAACCTCATAGGGTTGTTGTGAGGATTAAATTAGTTAAAATATGTAATGTTCTCTGAACAGTGTCAGGCAGGTAGTGAGTGCTCAATACACTTTGGTTATTGTTTTTATTATGACCATTATTATTATTCAACCTAGTACACATATATTGAGTCCTTGTGTGTATTTGATGCTGTACTAGGTGTTAGGTATTCAATGTGAATAAGCTTCGGTCTTTGACCTCCTGAAGCTATCAGTTTTGGGGGAGTAAAGCAGGCATATATAGACAGAGAATTCCAGTATGGCATAGTAAAAGCAATGAAAATGGCATAAACAGGGGTTGGACCTTGAGAAGGGACCATTAACCCAGCCTGAGGAAAGTGTCAGAGGAGACTCTCCTTGAAGGAGAGAATGCCAGAATTGAGTCTTAAGGGATACGTAGGAGTTAGGTACTTGAAGAAGGTTGTGTTGGTGGCTAGATATTCACCATAGCCCATTAAACTGCATCCCAGACAAGAGTGCATCCATCTTTCTTTTAACCTTTTCAGTTAGCTTCCCTTAAAGGACAGCTCATTTCATTGTCTCAAGCTGTCAGAAAGTTCTTTCCTTTATCAGGGTGGAATCTACCTCCTTGCAGCTTTACCTGTTTTTCATAGTTGTACTCTCTTCCATATTTGAAGACAGCTCTCAAGAACCAAATCTATTCTTTCCCTACTTAGATAAAAGAGAAGTTGGCTTTGATATTGGGGGTGGGAGGGTGGTATGGGGGAAATGGTAGATAGTTACTGGTGAAGAACCAAAATGAGAAATTTTCTCTATGATCCTCTTTTAGCTGTAACCTTATCCCAACTCTGTGAAGGTGGACCAGTGACTTGGAGCAATTGGTCATTGGCTGATGAATGCTGTGGGCATTTTTACTTTCGTTCTTTCCTAAGTCTGATATGGTGAAGAAATTATGATATTGTTCATATTTCCTTTATGACCTTTTGCTTTTAAGAGGTCACTGTCAGCTTTGGATGAAACAGCCTGGCCCATATATAAGAGAGAAGCTCAGGACCTCCCCAGCCCATCCGAACCCTGAGGAGGTGTCCCAGCCCCAGAGCCTCCATGCATGGCCATGCAGACCGGGCACTGCCCATCTCCAGAGAACAGTATTTACAAAGGCTGTGATATGATGGTGCCCCTGGAGCTCTGCCCTGTAGTTATGCTGCCAGTTTCCTTAGTTACCTTAGTTGTTATTTGACATCATTACCATCAGAGAGCCAGTCCTTTTACTTAACCCAAATCTTCCCTCTAACAGTTCTCTTAGACTCCTTATCAGTCCATTGACCCATGTTCTGAACCCCTAGGTAGCATCTGACATCATCCCTAATATTTGCTGTTTTGATCTGTGAGAAGGCAGCTGCAGAAGAAGCGTCAAATATGGAGGATAAAGGCTATTTAAGGCCAGCGAGGTAGAACTGGAAACCTCCATTGTCCACTGTGACTCTAGCATACTGTGGCATCTTGTGCTATCATGATTTTCTTCACATGGTCTTAGGCTCTGCACTTCACTCTGCTCTGGTAATGACCCAGATGTATTCAGGGATTTCGACTATTAGAAGTAGCCATCAAATCAGGATGGACACATTCTTTATTCACCTTTTTCTTCATTTAGCAAACATTGAGGGCCTCCTTCAAGGTAAGAACTGGTTTTAAGTTTTGAGAATGAGGAGTGAGTTACTATTTGAATCATACATAGTTGTCATTAAGGATTTTACAAGCTATCCTAATTTCGTGTTGTAAGCTGTAGAGTAGGCATCCTCAAACTACGGCCCGAGGGCCACATGCGGGTGTTTTTGCCCGTTTGTTTTTTTACTTCAAAATAAGATATGTGCAGTGTGCATAGGAATTTGTTCATTTTTTTTTAAAACTATAGTCTGCTCCTCCAACGGTATGAGGGACAGTGAACTGGCCCCCTGTTTAAAAAGTTTGAGGACCCCTGCTGTAGAGGAAAGGCAGGAATTTAAAATATCCTCTGTTAATCCAAACATAGATAATTAATTATATTTTTTCTTCCTACAGGTAGCTTTCAGTTCCAGGCAAAACCATCCAGCACTCAGGAGGCCTTCTCGAGTGAACACTGCAGGTGATGGATGCTGAGGGTAGACATGGAGGGGCCAAATGTGAGAGACAGGTGACTGTTATACTGGGTGCTCACTTCACTTGCAGGCCAGGAGGGCTTATGACCACCCAGGAGTGGTGACTCCTGTACTCAGCCCAAAAGTCAGGTTAACAGAGAAGATTTAGAAAGGCAATTTTTGATTCTCTATAGAGAAATCATTTCATGTTAAGAAAACCTTTATTTAATAGCTTTCTAATGCATTTAATATGTAGCAGATTTTCTTCCAGCTATAAATTTGTCTTCTCAATTATTTTTGCCCCAGATGCTATTAAGATAGATATGCATTCCCTAACCATGTACCTCTTAGCTTTCTAATGTTTATCCCATCAATTTTAACCCTTTGCACTCGGATGTCAAGTGTGGATAATGTCGAGTGGATAATGAGAAAAAAGCAAGCGAGTGCAAAGGGTTAAATGTCCCCACCTTGAGCTCACCAGTCACTCTATATAGTTTCCCATCCCATTTATCTAACCTGATTTCCTACTGTTTTCAAACAAAAATCTATTCCACATGAACCACCCCAACAGTCACCTGTGTGTCTTTGCTTACACAACTTTCTCTTTTTAAATGCTGAGTGGCCTCTGCATCCCTCCATTTATCAATATGTTGACCTTCCTTCAACGCCTTCCTCAGCTTTTACTTTTTTATGTCATTGTAGCTCAGAGAGATCTGACCTCTTTTGAGCTCAGGGTGCCTATGGAAAGTACACTGGATTAGTAGTCGGAGAGGGGAAGTCTAGTTTGGGTTCTGTTTCTCAGTAGCTGTGACGCCATTTGTAAGTCACTTAATCTCTCTGAGCCTCAATCTCATTTATAAAAGAGAGGTAATTTTTGGCTGCCTAAATGATAGGGTCATTGTAAAATTAGATGATGATGTTGTATAAAATAATATTGAAATGTGCTATAACAAAATTAAAATATGCTAACAAAAAGTTTTATTATTTATTGCTCTGTATCATTTTTATGTTTTATTTAACACTTACTTTGTTAGTTTACTCTTCAGATGTGATATTTCCCCACTTAGATTATGAGGTACATAGGTTGACTTTAGGCTTTTTAAAATCTCCAGTAAAGCTTTGCAGTTGTAGCTCTGCTCCCTGAAATTTTCAAAAATTTACAGAGTAATGGAGGAGAAGGATAGACAAAGAAGTAATGAATTATACAGGAGAGCCTCTTGGAAAAAATGACTTTGAGACCTGGTAATGCCCTAACAAAAGTAGCAGCTTTGTGGCCACTCTCACTTTTTCATCTTCTTTCCACAAAGAACAGAGGAAGAGTTTCTGGATCAAGTGAATAGGAAGCTGGCTGAGACTAGCCCGGAGAAGGGCCTATTCACCAGGAAGCCCTGCCACTGTGAGGAAATCCTGAAATTCGTGCTCTCACCCCTCGCCCAGCACTGCTTGGTCATTGGAAAAACCACCTGTGCATTTTATTACCTGCTGGAGGCTGCTGCCGCCTCCTTGGACTTGTCAGATAATTACATGGTGAGCAAGCTCTGCGCTCTGCCCTTGAAATTGCTTACTCTCAAGTAACCATGAGTGAAAAGTGGAGGACAGTGGGAGAGAGAAAGAGGAGCTAGAAGGGATACAGGAAGAAACATGAAGTGGGAATGTGGTGGGGAAGGAGCACCAGCCCGTGCTGGCACTGCTCGACCCTGGCACAGCAGCGCGCCTCCCATTTCTAACTCAGAGTCCAAACCTCATTGCAATTTGTATCTGGACCCTCATAATATCCTACTCCAGCCTTTGCCCCGATCTCACCCCTAGCATCATCCTAGTCCTAATCCAGTTTCTTCATCCCTTGTCCTGTTTGAAGGCCTTCTTTTATTTGAGGACGGCAAGCAGTCTTCTGGGCCAACCCTCGGCATTCTCATTCTTGAGAAAACACAAGGTGAAGATCTGTCAGTTTGAGGAGGCCACTTTCTGCTGTCTTTGGTCAGAGGTGAGGGCCAGGGGTGACCTTGCAATTTTGGATATTTCTCCTTGAGGGTTACCTTATTGTTTCTTTTAAAATATCTTTGTTGTTTTTTTGTAAATGTGATAATGTAATAAAAGGTTTATACACATTCAAAATATATAAATATATAATATGTAGAAAGTGAAAGAGCTCCCCACTAATCCCATGCCACCCCTGCCATAGTTAATAATTTTATGCTTATTCCACCAACTGTATATACAGTCATGTCATTGTTTGCCATTATGTTTTAATAGGATCATATTCTACATTCTCTTTCTTCTGCAGCTGGCTTTTATTCTTGGTAGTACAGATTGAACATATTTGCATATTGGTGTACATATTGATACACAACATAGTTACAGCTGCCAAGTGGTCTGCTGGACATGTCATAGTTTAGCTACTCCCTTCTTCACATACATTTAGGTTGTCTCTCATTTAGGGGTTGTTATAAACATTGCGATAGTGAATATTCCTATTAAATATCTACTTTTCTCTTGTGAGAATACTTCCATAAGAAAAATTTCCAGAGGTGAAAATACTAATGCAGAAGATGTAAATGATTTTACATTTAATAAACGTTTCACCAAATTGCCCACCAAAAATATATCAATTCAAGGTTTTCCTTGAATTTTTATATTCTTACTAACATCAAATATTTATCAGTCTTTTCTAAACTTGCTAACCCCAGATGAAAATTATATTGTGTTTTAATATGTATCTCTTAATTAATAAGATGCATTGTTCTTATATGTTTATTGGTTTTTCGCATTTATTTCTGTGAATTGTCCATTCATGTGACTTGCTCATTGGCGTATAAATAAACTAATTTTAATGCAAACTTTAAGACAATCTGGTTAGGCGAATAAACGTAATGTGTATAATGACTTTGAAGGCCAAAGGGAATATTAGAGTTGTCATGGTGTTACATTATTTGTGCTTCAACTAAGAGGTCTTCAGAGCAAAGTTAAATGATTATTTCTTCCCCTTTATAAGAAGAAGTTATTGTACAATCCTCCCAAGATTGTTCCAGAATCACATAGACTTTGGCACTTTCTTGGGGGATTGTGCCTTAGAATGCGAAAGTATAGGATAATCTCCAACTCCCCACGTTCACTCTGGTAATGCAACCTGTTTAGAAAGGAGAGATACAAGATTAGGTGATATTTTAGGTGCTTGCCATGGCATGTGAGAGCATCTGAGTCTCCACACACATGACGATCTCATCACAGTCTAGCACCCTCACTTTCCAAATCACAGCCTTCCTCTGCTGAGCACTGACAAATGTGTGGGAGATAAGAAAGAAGATGCCTTTTCCACAATCCTATCTTCTCACCCCTTTGCTTACTTATGGCCCCACTGGTGCTTGTTAGTGTGACTTCTGACCAGGCCGTGCTTCAACCCAGCTCACTGTAGCACCTCAGTGACCCCCAACTACACATCTCAAAATGAGAGAGCCAGTGTGTTGTTGTATCTAAAACCTTGTCCACAGTACTTTCCCCACATTTACACTGCTGCTTCTTCTTTTCCCATCTCCAGGTCTGTTTCAACATGGGACAGATCACCTTAGCCAAAAAATTGGCTAGGCAAGCCCTTCAACTGCTGAAAAGGAATTTCCCTTGGACCTGGTTTGGTATCCTTTTCCAAACATTCCTGGAAAAGTATTGGCATTCCCGTTTCCTGAGCCAACCTCCAAACAACCCTAGTGAGAAGTGAGAAGCCTGGACTAAGTTGTCCTGGTTCCCTTTAGGGCCACAGAAAACTGTAGCTAAAGTAGGATCCATGCTGGAGTTTTCCCCCTGTTGACTTAAGACTACTTTTTTTCTTACTATCTGGTAACCGCCAAGCATTTAACAGACAAACATACAACAGACAGCATATCAGCATATACATATATGCATGTAACAGATAAGTGCGTAATGGACAGGTCTAGGTTTTCCACCTTACTCCCCAGCCAATTAAATGTAGCAAATAGGAATTCAAAGAATGAATCTTTTTTTTTAAAAAAAATCTCTCTCTGAACTTTTCCTGATTAAGAGGAGTAAATTAAAATGTTATATGGAGTTAGGTGCAGTGGAATTCCAGGAACATTTCTTGAGTTTGAAAGTCTATGGATGGCCCCACAATGAGTAGACTTGGATCTTTTGTGGGGAGAGAAAGTTGGGCATTGGTGAGGAGCAAGGGTGTGCTAACCACCCGTGCTTCACAACAGTAAGAAGAACCTGGCAGTCCTGCAGCAGCGGGTGCATTGCTTCTCCCTACTCTGGCAGCTCTATAACCTGGAGGCCACAGCCAGTAGCCGCAGGTTTGCCTGCCTGGCCACTCTTATGCAGAAGAACTCAGCCGAGGAGTTTGCAAATGAAGCCCAGGTGAGCAAGTCCTTGCGTTATCTCCAGACCTCACTAGTAATGTCAAGTGCTGTGGAGAAAGACCCTGCCAAGTTCCTGGTTTTAGCATGGTTCCCCAATAACCCCGACTTAACTGGATACACTGATCACCCATGGATCAGTTCTGGGATATGAGAGAAAGAGAAAGCCAAGGATAATCCCAAAATTGTGACTGGAACTTCTAAAGGCATAAAGTTGCTCTTAATTGGGGTGGGAAAGTCTGCAAGAAGAACATGTTTAGGGGGAGATTCTGGAGCTCAGCTTTGGGCATGTTTAATTTGAGATGCCTGGTAGACATCCAGATGGAGATATGTGGAGCAGGTACTTGGATACACAAGTCTAGGGTTCATGCGAGAGGTCTGAGTTGGAAGTGGACATATAGGAGCCATCAGTGTGCAAGCGCTATTTAAAGCCATGAAACTGGATGAACACCAAGGGAATGAGCATAGAAAAGATAAGAGGTCCAAGGACTGAGTTAACACCTCCAGTGTTAAAAGGTCAGGTGATGAGGAGAAACCAGTGAAAGAAACTGAGAATAAGTTGCTAGGGAGACAGGATGAAAACCAAGAGAGCATGGTGTCTTGACAACCTAGCAAAGATAGAGTTTCAACAAGAGCCATTAACTATGTCAAATATGCATATAGATACGCATAATAGAGATCTAGAGAGCAGTTCTGAAGAGCTCTCAGGAGCAAGATTCAGAACCTTCATTAGAGAAAACAAGAAGTAATTTGATCGTGTTTTAAAGGGGAAAGTCTTGGATTAGAGAAGAAGAAGAAGAAGAGGGGCATGCAGAGGAAGTGGTTTGTTTAAAGCACAGGCAGTAAGAGCAGATTAGAAGTACAGGAATGGGAAGGAGCTTGTTTTCCTAGCTAGAGTGGAAGCGAGTGGCAGGGACACCAGGAGTCCCGACTGAGTGAGCAGCAAGGCAGCAGAGTAGGCTCTTACACAGAAAAGGGGCAAAGTGGAAATGTCGTGTGAATGTACAGTTACAGTGGGGTATTTTGCCCCATGTTTGTTGCCCAGCAGGTTGTCTCTACCTACTTGGACCTCTCCCAGTTCTCCCAGAACATGGGCGACAGGGAGAAGTGGCTGCACTGTGAGCAGATGGCCATTCAGAAGAGCAGCCTGTGCTGCTTCTCCAGGGAGGGATTGCTGGCCACAGCCCAGCTCATGCAGGCCCTGGCCTACAGCAAGCTCTGCCTTGGCCATCTGGACTTCTCCATCGAGCTGGGTAATAGGGCTGAGGGCAGTGGGCCCCGGCTCTTAGAGAGCCCAGGTTCGCAGCTAGGCTTCACACAATGCTTTTTAACCTCCTTAGGTTTTCAAGCACATGAGTTATGCAGACACCTTAAGAAACCAGCTCTAGAGAATCTGGTTCTTTCAGTTCTCTTCAGATCTGCATTTCTGAAGAAGAAGTATGAAGATCATTTTCTCTCATTTATATTTGTTCACTAAGAGGGGTGGGTATATTTTCCCAGAGAAGTTTGGAGTGGAGAAGGAGATGCTGTTCCATCTCCATGTCCAGAGATGTCTCTCTCTTGGCCCCTCCAGGAAGCATTGTCTTCAGGGTTGGGGGGAGCGTCAGGAGTGGAAATGCAGGCTCCAGGCTGCTACATATTCCTCAGCACTGGGGCTCTTGGACAAACTTTCTGCTTTCCTTTTTTCTATTTTCTGCAGGAAGGTAAGGAATTTGTAGTAGCTCAAGACCCCAGAAACTATATCTGAGGCATTTTCCCACTTCCTTTGCCTAGAGACAGGTCTGATTCCAGACACAGATGTTCTCTATTTACATAGAGCTATGGAGAGGAGGTCTGGGAGGTTTTGGGCTGCTTTGGAAGTGTAAGTTCCCCTCCTTTCCTGCACAATCCTCCCCACTCCCTAGCTGGTCCCAGAGCCTCTGTCTGTCGGCAGATTTGATCTGTGTGTCCATGTGTTGAAGAGTCAGTGGGCGCTCATTTCCCATGGTCGTGATGTCCTTGGCCTGGCCTGCTTTTACTCCGCTTGCTTAGATCTGCTGCTCTGTGGAAAAGGTAAATCTTGCACAGGGCTCTACTACACTCTGGAGGGATTCAGGCCTCAGGTGGGGCCCTCGGTTTGGAACACAGACAGTCATGAGCCTGTTCCTCAGCCATGGCCTCGGCTCCTTAAAATCTGGGGACCCTGTTGTGACTCAGGGGTGTCTGCCTTTGAGGTCTTGTTTCCCCCCCTGTGCCACATACCTTCTATTCCCCAGTTACTATAGTGACAACAGACATTAGCCTAGTTACCTTCTCTGTCCACAGGATTGTTGTGTTGGCCCTTTGGCGAGTGTCTGCAGTTCACTCAACACCATGAGCACAGCTGTGTTCTAACCTCTCAGAGCAATGTCATGCTGGGGGTCCACTCCTCCCTGGCCATATGGTAATGTCTTTCTTGAGGTTTGTGGGAAAGGATGGAAATATAAGTTATTTAAGGTGTCTTATCCCTCCAGGCAGGACTATTCAACATTTCTAACCAACTTTTAAAGACCATTCATCTCCCATACCTTCTTATTAGAATGGCTCTTGTCCCTTAACAGGTGTTGGCCTATAGGTTGAGGATTAAGTTTACGGTCACTTTCCAGTGCTAGGCAAGGCTGGCATATCAGTGGGCTCCTTGTGTGTGAATTCGTAGCCTTGGCCACTTTCCAGCATCACAATTCTGACTGCCCAGGAGGTTTTAGAGCCTTAAAGAAGTGACAGGTTTATGAAAGAGCCATGGTTGGTAAGAAGGAGATAGAAGTGAAAGCTTTGACTCTTTCCCCCCAGGTTTGCCCAGGACTCACAGTGGGACCTGTTTGAGCACCATTTCTCCAAGGCTTGCCAGTTGGTGAAAAAAACCAATGCCTCACTATTTGGTTCACATGGCTTTGTCCGATTTCTAGAGTGCCACGTACTAATGTTACAGAAAATGCCAGAGGGTATCTTCATGCATATTCCCCCAGTGACTCGCAGCCAAACCCTCCAGGTACCTGTTTCTCTGCTGTTCTTCAACTAACACCTAACTCATTTGCTTCTACCCTGTTAGACTCTTTCTGGCATCTACATCCCTCCCCTACTTCTCCTCTTCCTGGCTGTGTCTCCTTTTCTTCCCTGAGCCCTTTGTTGCTCCACCTAGAAAGTTTCTACCTACCTCATGTACCCTCCCAGATATTCTTACATCTAGGTCAGGACTTGGTTTCTTAGCTTTCTGCCTTTACACAACTACTACCTGATGCCATTGAAATGTTAACATTTAGCCCTTCTCAATGGACCTGCTCTGTGGCTCAGTCTATAATTTTTACACACTTCCCTACAGCTCTGCCTTCTGAGATGTATGCGGGAACTAAATATTAAAACAATTGATCTCATGGAGACAGGGAGTAGAATGATGGTTACCAGAGGCTGGGAAAGGTAGCAGGGATAAAGGGGTGATAAGTGGGGATGGTTAATAGATGCAAAAATATAGTTAGATGGAATGAACATATTTGATACCATGACGGGGTGACTATAGTGGACAATAAATTATGATGTACTTTAAAATAACTAAAAGAATGGAATTAGAATGTTCCTAACACAAAGAAATGATAAATGCTTGAGGTGATGGATACCCCAATTACCATGATTTGACCTGTATCATACCATCACATGTACCCTATAAATGTATACTATTATGTACCCATAATAATTAAAAATGAAAAATTTTAAAACAAACAGATCTGAACTTGAAAAAAAGACATACTCCAATTCCTCTGTACCCCAAAATCAATTTTCTAGACCTACTTTATCATCAATAACTCCTCTCCCTGACCCCCCACCCTGAGTAAGTATGCTGAGTGGGGATTATGGTACATTCTGATGAAGTGGTGAATTAGGGGAAGAAAGTGTTAATTGCGGAGATAATGGACCTTCCTTTCTTCTCAGTACTTTGAGGAGTTCTTCTCTCGATGTGTGACCTGCCCTGTCTATCATCAGTGGGTCTCTGAGCTTAAGGCCTCTGTAATGAGATGTGGAAAGAGAGAATCCACGTCCTTGAATAACACCATCAGACCTTTTGACACCAGCTTGACCGGGATTTGGATAGAGGAGGAATTTCTGAAGAAAAACAACTCTTGTGAAAGAAATTTAGGAGTAGAGAGTAAGCATTCCTTCTTGAAACCCTTGTGTATGAAACAAAGAACAATCACAGCTGGGTGCAGTGGCTCACGCCTATAATTCAAGCACTTTGGGAGGCCAAGGCAGGAAGGTTGCTTGAAACCAGGAGTTCAAGACCAGCCTGCGCAAGAGTACACCCCATCTCTACAAAATATAGAAAAATTAGCCAGGCATGGTGGTGCATGCTTGTACTCCCAGAAACCAGGGAAGTGGAGGCAGGAGGATCACTTGAGCCCAGGAGTTTGAGGTTGCAATGAGCTATGATGATGCCATGGCACTCTAGCCTGGGCAACAGAGCAAGACAATGTCTTAACAACAGCAACAAAAAAGAATAGTCTTGGATTCTTACTCACAAGCAGTTAAAGGCTGCACCTCTAAAGTAAAAAGGGACACACAGATGTAAAGAGTTAATCCGTGATCTTTAAGCATAGTCCTCTCCCTCGTGCTGGACCCAGCCTGAATAGACAGGAGTCCCTTATATTGTTAAACAGCAATTTCTTCAGCCTCTCCCAGCCCTTTGTTTCAGCATCTATGTAACTCTTAGGTATAGAAAGTTCATTCTTGGTCCCAACATAAACAACTGGGTTGTTTCCTTGGAGTAGCTGGATGGTCACTGAGGGAGAAGTCACAATGCAATGTCTATGAAGTTGAATGGTAAGATGTAAGCAAGAAAAAGTTCCTTTCCTCAGGGCCCTACAGTTCTCCTCCTTTCTCAGGGCCACTAGGAAAATTTATAATTGCTTAGGACATTCCTTGTGTTTGTAATATTCTTTATGTTCCCTTTTTCAGGATTTAACAAAGTAGCTGATATCAAGGAGAATAAGGATCCAGAAGAAACTCAAGAATATATATGTTAAAATAATAATAATCTGAAGGGACCATGATTCTCTTACAGGGAAAGCCAATGCCCCAAATTCTCCTTTTTAAGATACTGTATAGTGTACATACTAAATATACTAGCCTGTCACTGCTATCAATATCTTTGTCAAAATAAAAGCCTATGTTTCTGAAGCATGCCACATATATATATTTTTTAATTCTTTGACAGTCATTAGCACAACTGTAGCATAAGTGAGAACCAGGGGTCATCAGGAGGCCTGGGAGGCTTTGAGGGTAACTGATTCTATCTTTTATAAGGTGGGATCCATTAGCAGATGGAAAACCAAAACCCTGGCAAAGGGGTTGCTGTTACCTAAGGAAGGCTGGTGAATGCTTTGGTGTTGCCCTCATTTGTCACAGGTGTGTTAATAGGCTCCGAGGAAATCAAGGAGTCTTTTCAGAAGTATTGTAGGGTTGTGGGAATCCATTTCTCCTTTGTGCTGTGTGACTTGGGCATTACCAGATGAAATTGTGAAGTTGCCAGAGTATGTACTACTGTAGCTTCCTTCCTTTTTCTCCTCTCTCTTTGGAGTTGCCATCTTGGCCTTTTGTCTGTCTGATGGTCTTTCATCCACAAAGCATGATCTTCCCACTAATATACCTTATAACTCAATCATCTAGTGCCCATAAAGTCAATTAGCTAATGTTATGGTAGCTACCATTTATTGTTTACTTATTCTGTGCTTGAAATACATTCTTTAAATCAACTCTATGAAGCAAGTACTATTATTATCCCACATTATAGATGAGATAAAAATAGGACAAAAGAATGTCATTGTGAAGATTAAATGAATCTTAGAACATTTCCTGGCACACAGTAAGCAGGCAGTAATTGTTAGCTGTTATTATCTGTTCAGTTTTTAAATCAATGTACAGAAATCAGTAGCATTTCTATATGCCAACAAAAGTCAAACTAAGAACTGTCGCGCCCGCCTCGCCAGCAAGGAAGACGCGGCAACTGGAGTTCTTCTGACAGTGCTTTAATGGGGTTCCCTTTAGACTTACATGATGCGGAAGACCCAGCCCGGCAGCACGCAGGCTGCTATATACCCTAGAAGCACAACCCCTAAGCTGGGATAGGCTGCTCAGCTGTCGAGCCGCCAAAGCATTGGTCCATAGTAGGATCCTTCATTTGCATGCTTGCGCCACAGGGTAACCGACAATTGCGCGTGCGCTGAACTTGTTTACTGCTCTAGGCAAAGCCGGAAACAGGCGCCATCTTGTAATGGCCGTGTATGCTTGAACCGCCGCCCACAAAGAACCAAATCAAAGGGACTCATACCCTTTTGCACAATAGGCGAACAAAGAATACCAGAATCATTTAACTAAGGAGGAAAAGATCCTCTCCAAGGAGAATACGGAGTAACACTGTGAAGAAATAGGCACAGGAGTATAAACAGGTGAATAACCATACCACGACTCATGGTTTGCAGAATCCAACATTGTCTAAGAATGTCTAATCTCCAAAGTGATCTACAGATTCAAAGCATCGATAACAATACCAACATCCACTTTTACACAAATCTAGAAGCAAAATAACTGTAACTTCCATATGGAAACAAGCAGGAAGACTCATATAGCAGAAGCAATCTTACAGCAAAAAGAACAAATTGTGCAGGCATCAAATTTATCCAGACTTCCAAGCTATACTACACAGGCTACTAGTAACTAAAACCAACATGGGTACTGCGCACCAAGAAGAGACTAGCGACCCAATGGAACAGAACTGAAGAAACCTCAGATATCAAAACCATCTTAAGATAGCCATCATAATCTTCAGTCAAAGCAGACAAAAACATACACTGCGGGAAAAGAATCTTTATTACAATAAATGGTCGTGGGAAAGATTGGAATAGCACATGTCAGCAAGACTGAAACAGCGATCTGCACCTTCACCCTTCACAAAACTCAACTCACAGCTGGATTAACAACACTTAAACCTAAGCACTGAAACCATCAGAGAATCTAGTAGAAACCCTTGGAACAAACCTCTTCTAGACATTGGCCTAGGGCAAAAGAATTTATGAAGAAGACCCCAAAGGCAATCACAGCAACAACAAAGGATACAAAATACAATGGAACCCTGGATCCAAATTAAAAAGCTTCTGCATAGCCAAGGAAACTACTATCAAGAAGAGCAAACAGACAGAGCTACAGGAATGGGCGAAAAATTCGCAGGTGTTACACATTCTGATCAAGGGCTGATCAACTAGAATCTATATAGGAATCGAGAAAATCAGCAAGGAAAAAAAAATCAAACACCTAGCTCAAAAATAGGCCAAAGGACCATGAACCAAACTTACCAAAAGAAGATACGGACTAATGCCTAAAAAATATATGAAAAATGCCTCCAACATCTTCTAATCCATCAGGGGAATCGCACATCAAAAACAACACACTCCCGAGCCCTCACGTTATCTATAGCATTTGAAAT